CTGGTCACGAAGATGAGGACAAGTTTAGTAAATCTTTGTTCTGTGGTAAATTTCACTCATGTAATTCATGTGCATTTCGTAATGTAAAGTGTTCTAAATGGGGGTAAGATTACATGCATTCAAGTCGTTTTTAATACTGCTATTCGTTTTGCTGCAAGTAATGCTAAACTTTGTAATTTCAATCCTATTGGGTTGAGTGCTTCATTTGTCTTTGTTGACGATTTCTAAAAACAGTATGGAGTTAGACAGCAGTCCAGAATTACATGAAATCTTGTTAGCATCGCATAAATCTGGCTCATAGACGATATGCATTCAAAATGCAGACAAACGCTGGTGCATTTTCTCCACAAAGCTACGCAATTTTCGCTCCACGTTTGATCAAACCTTTATGGAGAGAATTTAAAAGTCAGATCGACGATTCTATAAAGAAAAGAGGAATTGGTGTAGCATCATATAACAATCTAAAACTGAAACTCAAATGAGAATCCAGATTTCCGTAATTCATTATAAGTCTTTTTTGTAGGCCTATCATTTGTCTGTGTTGCAGTGTATTGGGTACAGCTTTCGTATGATCAAGAATGTGTTCAACGGAATTCAGAACGGACCAACGTGGCCATTGAATTTATGTCAGATCAAGACGTCAGTTGTAAGTGCATTTAACATTAGTATCTACAGTTTAAACCATATGTTTTTCAACATTCCTCATCGAAATCACCATGGCTGATCGACAATCATTTCCAAGATAATATGAAACTTCTACAGACCCAAAATATATCATTTTCAAACAGGCAGCCTTTTTTACCTGTTATGATGGAATCTCTTTCGTTACAGAATCTATAGCATTACCATATTGGAGTCGAAATGCGCCTGCACCCGTCTCTAGTTCATCAGGTAAAGGAGTAGCAGCCATTTTAGTTCTGTCGAAATTTACCACCATGCAATTAAAACAAGAGTCTCTGAGGGCAGTGACTTGAGGTTTACGTCATATACCATTCAACCAGATAGTAAAGCATCCGCAGTATACTTAGAGCCATTATAAGACACCAATAACTTGAATATGTCCACCGAGCTGAACGCTTTAATCAATGCTTGGATTGAAAATCCAGAACTTTCCGAAGTTATGAAAGAAACCGCGACCCAACCGGAAGAATATGTGATGGAAATAAATGCATTGCATTCGCCGGAAAATAGATCACGCTAGTCCGAATGAATTTCCTAACAGGCCCCTAAAGCTACTCGTCATGTAGTCCAATTTAAAGGATGACTTTTTATCTTATGAAGTCCTTTACAATTGTTTTCTGTACGATCTTTATTTGCGTTTATTCCCCGTTGCTAACACGTGAACGTTGCTAAGGATTTCACCTCATGAACACCACCATGGAGATTGTCATGTTCATATTTGAGCAACGAGCTATGAATTCAGGGACAAAGCGAGACTAATATGTAAGAGAACGTAATTGTAATCATTATTCGTCGACTTTTTTGGAAAACGTGCATTTTGGGCGTAGCTAGTCGCTTCACATTTGATCGAAAACTGTTATCATCAACGAGGTATCTCAATAAGGCAATACGCCACTGCTCTTAAGTTGCTTTATCAGCACCTTGAATAATAATATAATCTTAATAACCTTCGATACCTTAAGCCACTGACTTCAATATTCAACACTTCTTAAAACATGACAGGTAAACAAATTTAATCCAATGGAAGATGGTTAAATTTGAGTAAAATAAAGGCGATAGTGTTAGTCGTCAAAATAGATGATGATTTATCTGAGAGAACCTGAAGATGAGTATAAATTACACTAACTTTTGAGAATACATTAGAATCATGAAGCCAATTGGGAATGACCTCAGCAACTACCGTGGTTGATATTTTCCTCAACAAACGAAAATCAAATGTTGATCTGTAACCACTACATATCCTAGAGGTTTTGCCATCAGACTTCAAAGGCGTAAGAATAAGAGTACCTATAGTGATTAGAAATAGGCGAATTGATGTGCAAACTAAGAACTCCCATTATAGTCCAATTAAAGACAGACAGAACTCAATAAGTGCAAATGGATGTCTTATCTTTGCAAATTGAATTAGCCACGGAATTATGTATAAATGTGCAATCAATGAATTTTGATACTACACTTCTTCGAGCTGTACACTGAATCGATTCAGCGATTCTTTTTTTCACGCAAGGCATCCTGTGACTTACGCACTGCTTCTTGAAAACTAAAGGACTATTTGTCTTTAGGAATGAGTGGATCACCCTATGCATGATGTTTTATATGCAGGACTCTCATCTCTGTAGTGCAGTTGACAAATGCAGCTATCAAACCTTCACGTAAAGCATCAGAATCAGAGTTAGACATGAAGTTGACCATTAAATTTACATTTAGCCGTTTGCTTCTGTGGTGAGACCATAATTTACGGACAACCTATGAGAGATGCTAAAGTGATTTTGAAACAAGCCGCCTACGTACCAGTGTTAAAAGGGTTTTTGAACTAGTATAAAGAATGCGACAATCTATAATGCAAAAATGCTATTTGTCTGCATGAACGCATGAATTTAGCGTCAAAATTTCAGACTTGCTGCCATTAATTCCGTTGGTTCGTCCATAAATTAAAGACTTGCTGTTTCTGCGATTTATAATAAAATACCTAACTCTCCAGTGTTCCTGATGAATCATTTTGTGCAATTTCACTCTTTCACAGCATCCAAATTTCGTTCAATCTGAACAACTCAGTAGCGGCTCTTTGAGAGCTTAAAAGGGGAGTGAAATATGCCCTTTTGAAAATACCAATTTTTTTATTCAGCTCTAGGCTTCCTTTCCGATAAATTGTTAGGATAGTCGGAAAAATATACCAATAATTATCGTGTTAAGTCTATGGTGGCCTTGGACCTTAAATGTACATTTCTTATTGGTCGATGTTTATTTCACTTGTTAAATATTTTGTAAATGTTGTTTCCTATTTTATGGTACGATGTGGTTTGTTTGTTTGGTATATAAATAGAGTATGTATGAAATACAACGATTCATAACTCAGAGGCTGTGACTTGTGTTCTTAACTCAACTGGCTAGGACAGACAGCGAAGCAGGGCCAATCAGGGCACTAGGTCGTCCGTACGTGTTTTCCGTGTTACTGTGATCGATCGACAAAAAAACGCTGTTTATCATAACCTGCAGTCACACACGTTACAACATAAATGTAAGTAAACGAGACACAATTTTATCATTTTTAAGGCTTTTCGTTATCATACTCCAGATTTTGAAACGTTCCATACACTCCAACTATCCAACCACAGGCTCTAACGCGAAGCCAATATATTTCGGAGCAATAGAGGTTCGTGTGCTAATTAGTGATACCAAGGACCGTTCAATTCGTGCTCCAGTAGCCACGTATGGACCAGTACTCAAGTCAGAGAGGACTGTGAGCACAGTCGAAGGTAAAGCGTTTATGATTCGAACCAGCCGCTGAATAATGTACAGGAGAATAATCGATTACTACAAATGCCTTAAATCCGTCTTGTGAGTTTCGAAGAATCCCTGGTTCCACCATGATGTAATATAATCCCTGTATATGGAAACCGTTTATTTACCATTACAGAGTGCAAATGATTTAAATGATGTTTACAGTTACAGTTTACTTAGTAGGGTCGTTTTTCACGCAGTAAAGATGTTGATCTTGCGGCTTATCCTCCTACATTACCTGGATATAGGACTGTCAGTAACCATAGGCGGGCTTCACTCGGTGCTATATGGAAGTATTAGCTTCAATTTATTGCTATGAAAAAGACCTAGGAAATGAGATTCACCAGCAAGATTTATTTCCGTCTTCTAACTGCAGTAAGAAAATACACAAAAATCTCAATACCTTTCAAATCTTTGAATGGAAACTAGGTGATAAAGCATTTAAAATAGATTTTAGCTTCACGCAAAAACGCATTTAGAAGCGAATTTCCATGGTCTCTTAGGTCTACGACTGCAGTGACTCCGAATATGAACTACATTTTGGATTTATAGCAAGTGTTAAATCCATTTGGAACACGAATTTAGAAATAAAACACTGTGGTTCTAAATCAGGTGAATTGTGTCCAAATAGTAGCTAAGTATTTAAACTGTACGATAAGTCAAATTGCTGTTCACAGTCTTTCCATGTGTTTATGGACTGTATTAGCTACAGTTGAATGTAATGTTTTTCAAGTCTGAACAATGATACTAATTGACCAACTTTTTACATTTCCGTTCCTAATTAACAATATTTTTACATTTCTTGTTTTCGGCCTACATAGTAATAGACAGTAGACAGTGTTTTAAAATTATTTCTGTAATCGTAAGAGAGTTTTCGACCTATTTTATTTCTATAATGTTCTCTGGGCTACTTCAGTACTCGTATGTGCCTGATGTATACATCATTTTACTGAACAAACAGTCATTTCCTACACATAGTATGAGTTAGAAATATGTTCAGAAAACGTTTCTGTCACTACCACATTTTTTAAGCCAGGAAATATAAAGCGCTAAATCCAGACTAAATGCTTAGTCAGCCATTTTTTTTCCAACCACATAATTCACTCCATCGTCGTAAATAGCTTTAATCATATTCCTAAGTGAAAGAAATTTAAACTTTCTATTATTTCAATATTCATAAAGCTAGTACAAAAATATTATAAACTATAAAATTGAGTTTGTTAAGCAAAATACAATTCATGAAAGACAAGTAGAGAACAGACAGATGTTTCAAATATAATCTCAGCCAAAATAAATCATGATTTTAACCAAAGAAGGAGTTAAACAAAACTTTCAAGGGCAAAAAGTTAATAAAAAATAAATTTAAGCTGAATATAGGCAGATATCATCAAAGCAGTTGAAGTAAAATAAATAATAATAACAAATAAATATATTAGGCATCTTTTTTCGCAAACGTTTTGAAGTGTATTCATCACCACCTTGCAATCTACTAAACCGACAAATAAACAAAGTAATAATACTCCATGAACAGATAATAATTAGAGCCTTGAACAGTGATCATGCGTATGACTACCTGATAAATCTAATGAGAAAAATACGAGCAGCAAAATAAATAGAATAACATGAAAAGCATTCAATGATACATTAGAAACTGTGTCGCATGATTATGATCTGAATTATTTTTATTCTTTTTATGGGTATACTACGAAATAATTGATATGCAAACTTTTCAGAATATATTTTTCGAATAATGATAAAAATTCTAACCATATTTTGCATATAGCACTCAATTTTATATCCGTTTGTTGAGTGACTAGGCTGAAATATTTAGCTGTTTCAAAACCATTAAGTCTGATGCACCATTTGATCAGTGTAATAACACAATCTACCGAAAATTGTTTCACGCACTGACAGAAATAAGAAAAATCATCACTAACTTAAAAAGTATAGATATTTCTTCCTTAATCCGCGATGATTATTCTCTGAAAAAACTTTAATACGGCCAAATTTGATTTAGAAAAGAGAATACGTTACAACAATAAACAACAGTAAATCTGTTGTTGGTGTTGATAATCATAATATCGTTTCCTCTGAAATGCTAGAGATCAAATGATTTGCACACACTGACAAAACTTCAATTGTATAATGCATGATTGCCTACCAATTTACACTTTACTATGATAAAGAAATACTATCATCACTGTTCTAAATATTTTCTAAACTGATTTCCCTCCAAATTTACCAACGAAAATCACAAAACTGGCATATCTAACTATGAAAATTTTGAAAACTTCATGCCTATATAAGTTTCAGCAATTTATCAACAATAAGAAACAGTTAGTTGAGTTCGGGTGCCCAGACCGAACCAGGTGGTTTTCCTACGGAGCCACACACCGAGCCTTTGACCTAAAGGTCTAACCCACAAGGCAGTGGAGCATCGTAAGGAGATGCAGTCTCATGGTAGCCGGTGACCAACATCCGGTTCATACGCCATTTTTTCCCTCAGGATACTGGAGCCTATGTGCACCATTGGTTTGGAATCCAGTTAAAGTGTCGGACATTCGCTTTCCGTCCTTTCATCTTCGTAAACAACACCCCAGCCACGAGAAGGCAGTGGGTAGGAATTCTCTGGCAGAGACTGTATATGCGTGGCCGTGTGAGAGGATTTCGAGAGGGAGGGCGGGCCCACCCCATTCTCGGCTATACCAGGGCATTTGGGGGCAATAAAAGGTAGCCGACGGAAGTCAATCAAACCAAAGACAGTTTTTACCAAATAGTGACATCAGTTAAGGAATCATGGAACAATGGATAACGTTGTCCTAGTTTCGAACTACTGAGCAGTCCCAAATCCCCGTCTCCAGTTCTTGCGGAAAGCATAATAATTTAAACAATTGAGTCGGAATGCCGTGGTCACCGTTTCCATCTTTAGTCAGTTTTCATTAAAGTACGACATTCCTTCGAAAAATTCGGGGAAAAGTTCTTCATATCTACAAAAATTTGGCTTCTCACTAGAACGTCGAAATTCCATCTCAAAGTTTGTCACTATGTAATAGGTGATCGATACAAAGGCGCCGTCTAGCTGATGCTAGTCCATGATGAAAACGTTTTACGTTTTGTTTTAAAAATAGACTTTACGACAATACCTATTGAAAGTTTCGGTATCGTTAGGTGAATAAGCGAACGAATCTTATTTTTATTTCTCGATATCTCCATATGAATATGAATATTAAATATAGTCTCCGATGTATACACTTAACCATGTACTCATAAATTTATAGTTGCTTGAAGAAAAGCTAGGAAAATTATGTTGTTTAACTGAGAATATATATAGATCAGGCAGCTGGAACGACATCAGTACGTAAACCTTAATCTTAAAGGAGAATAGTATGTATTTTGTGCTCAACAAGCATGAAAGTAAGCTAATATAATACAAGAGATAAATATAAGGACAGATTTCACTTATACACATCTATTGGAAACAGGGACATCATTTCGCAAAAAATCTTGTAAAGCCCATCACTGATAAACTAAACGACTCATCGACAGTATGTTACGCATTTCAGTACGTGGTACAGAATTTACTACGAACCAATTACACCTTTTCCTCTCAAAAGAAATTAAGACCTCAAATTATTTGTTATTAAAGGCCAAAAGTTCTTTTCGATTCAGTATTGCCTCAAGATTTATCAGCGATTGATAGGTTGTTCAACTGTGAATCTATATATTACACACCATTGATTCTATGAACCATGAATGAAGAAGCGCACCTTTTTACGACTGACTTTACCCATCATATGAAAACAAACATTTCAAGTGGGATAAAATAAATTTATCACTTAATACATTAATTTTAAATGTGAAGAGATAAACTAAATTATACAAGTCAAAGCCCTGGTCAGGAAAAGAAAATAGCCAAGTGTTACTATACAGTCCTTTCAATTTATGAGGAAACGAACATAAACTGCGAAAATTATGAAGCAGAACTCAGTTACGACTAGTTAAACAGATTGAAGCTTTTCTTACCGTTAGTTTCATCGTTTACTTTATTTTCCTTCAAATCTTTTCCAGACTGTTCATCTTCTAGTTCTTCATCCTCTTCTTTTATGGGTTCACGAACAACATTAGTAGTTGTGGTGTGAGGAAACGAATGTCTATGGTCATCTGATACACCATGTGGACTGTCACTTTCATTAGGATAAGTAGACTTTGAAGGAGCTGGTGAGTTTGTACTTGACTTAATTAATGAACAAATATGTTAAAAGTTAGTTGCAAAACTATATTTTTGAGGAAGTAATGAAATGTAGTGTAAATATAGGTGAACATGTACAGCGTTGTTGACTATTTACTAAAATGAATCCTAAATTCAGATTTTCATTCAAAGATCTGTGTTATAAAGCGTTGGATTAGATAATATTCCCATTTTCTACCTATAACTGATAAGAACTACACAACTATTTGTAGAATTATTTAAACAAAACTGATTGTAACCTTACTCAACACTCCTCAGTCTTTTCGATTAGAAGCTTTTCTCTAGGTAAATTAACAGAGAGCGATGCAATCAAAGAAATACTTTGGATTTTAATCCGTTTCCGATTAACCGAATTAATTATTTACAATAGTTCAGTAATAACATGAAATATGTTGGCAAAATTCGTGGCAAAGCCACATTATCTAGGTAGACTTAATCGTTACTTAAGCGCTTTATATATATATATGGCTTTCGTAGTTCTTCGGGTTTCCGACCCATACAGTAGAACTGTCTTGACATTTGTATTGAAAATTCTGACCTTGGTGTTGGTTGACAGTTGCTTTGAGTTCCAGATGTTCTTCAGTTGTAAATATGCTGATCTTGCTTTACCGATCCACGCCTTCACATTTGCATCACACGCACCATGTTCATCAATGATACTGCCCAAATATGTAAAGGTTTTTACATCTTCCAAATCTTCTCTGTCAATTGTGACTGGATTGGTGCATGCTGTGTTGTATCGGAGGATCTTGCTTTTCCCTTTGCGTATATTGAGATCTACAGCTGCTGAGACTGCTGCTATACTGGCCATCTTCTCCTGCATTTGTTGTTGCGTTTGCGACAGAAGGGCCAGATCATCTGCGAAATCTAGATCGTCCAACTGCATCCTAGATGTCCACTATGTCCCGTGTTTCCCTTCAGATGTTGACGTCTTCATGATCCAGTTGATCACCAGGAGAGTGAGAGTAGGCAACCTTGCGTGACACCGGTTTTTACGTCGGATGAGTCTGTCAGCTGTCCTTCATGCACGATTTTACAGTTTAATCCATCATAGGAATTCCGTATGACTATCTTCTGAGGCACGCCGTAGTATCGAAAAAGCTTCCATAGTGTTGTTCTGTCCATGCTATCAAATGCTTTTTCGTAGTCAATGAAGTTGATGTAGAGTGATGAATTCCATTCAATTGATTGTTCCACAATGATCCGTAGAGTTGCGATTTGGTCTGTACACGATCGATCCTTACGGAATCCAGCCTGTTGGTCTCGTTTTTCCTGCAGCAGTTTGGATGACTCTCCCAGTCTCCCACATTGTACGAGCATTCTATTTACCTTAATTAATGGTTGCTCTGGTAGTCAGACTTCCATAGGAACTCAGCTTTCACCATGAGGCGTTGTAACTCTTCTAAATGGAAGACCTAACTACCAGGGCAGAGTTTAGATGGTTTGAAGTATTATTTCTGGTTAGCGTTTTCAGCGAGTTAGTTTTCTATGGGATGGGGTCGCTAACCCCGTGCCCAACCCTCCTTTATCCGGGCTTTTGACCAACAATAGCTGGTGGATTGGAGAATGCTGATCGGCGGCCTATGCTCCATTAGGAGTAACAGGCGTAAGTAATTAATACTACAAGGAGTTTAGAGTTCTGTTCCATTTAGTAAATATACAAAAGCTCATGAGAAGCACTTTGGATAATTTTTAAAATCTGGGAGAGTATTACAGTAAATTTCATGGTTAGGTAAACGTTTACATCGATTATTCGGTTTACTTTCGATATAAAAAAATGCAAAGTAATATGTGTGTGAATCTCACGTTCTTAATATTTTGAGCCAGTTAGACACTGTTATTGATCCAAACCAAAAAAATTCTTTATTTTGTAGTATGGCGCCTTTTTGGCGTAAAAGTACTGAATCAAAATAATATGTTTAGATAGCTAAAAAATATTTTTGATTTAAAACAAATTAGCTACTAGCTTACCATTTGCATCTGTCGTGCTGTGGATAAAGCTGCCATAAGATCGCGTAGTTCTGGACCAACAGGAACACTGAACATAAACATAATTCGTGTAATTTGTAAGCATCATAAATCCAAACAATAAGTATTTCAGATGCAAAAGCTACGTACAAATCATAGCAAATTCAACCGAAAACTATAGCAAAACAATTTTGATTTTTTTAACAGGAATTTTTGAAAACAATATTTCCATTAAACCTCAGTGAAGATTACAAGTTTACAATGTACACTAAAAAAATCGTAGTTGAAAAAACAGTCGCTCTCAAAAACAAGCTTGTTTCCTTATCAAAGTTCCTGTTTTTTAACAAATAGATCCTTAAGTTTATCAATTTTCAAAATACTTCAGACTGGTAACCCGTATTACAGTACAAGCCACTTGCATTCGTCAGAATAAAATGTACTATTTTACTATTAGGACTTCAAATTCAGCTATCGGCTTAAGCTTTTGTGCATTAAATCATGCACTATAAAGGATCATTTATTATCAGAAATGTGAATAATCACAAGCTTTGTACAATATTCAGAGTTACGTTAAGTTTTTCCATTAACCTCAAAAAGCCGAGGCACCGCTGTAATAAAAAGATAATGTATTTAAACCGAGGTAAGACAGTACAATAAATCATAAAATCCATTTCATAAGCAATAACCAATTATAATTTATGTTCATACAGACCAGTATAAAAATTTACTACAAGTTGAACAATACTGGTATTAAGTTTACATTTTGGAGAGTAAATAAATTATATATATTGTGACTTTTTGAAAGTTATCTTTGATTAGTATTAACACTTTAATGAAATAGAATTTTAAATGTCAAAACTTCTGATAACATACAAAATCAAATAGTGATAGCCAATAAACAGTCAAAAGACTTTTTAAACGACAAGATGATATATTTCAGATTGTTTTCAAAGTATGTATTCTAAGACAAAGCTAATTAGTTTAAGAAGTATTGCAACAGTTGTGCTGTTTCGTAAAAACAAAGTTTTAAAATTCAGTCAGAAAAAAGTGTGAATGGTTACTGAATTTTGCAGGAGAACAGTGTATAAAAATAAGTTTTTGTATAGAAATACAGTATGTCATATATAAAACAAGAGCACAGCCACTTTTAATTTGATCAGTCTAATAGGATGGTACTAAAGAATGAATTAAAGTCAGCTATGATACCGGTAAAATACATATTGTGAATAGTGTCTAGACTATTGGACAATTAATAAATGTCACAATTTTGAGTTATATTTAACCTTTGAAGTGAGTTTTCAACTTAAAGTTCATTATAGAAGAGAGAGTGAAAGGTAAGTTTTGTTTGGAATATTCTAACAGTTAATTGCTAAAAATGTAAATTAAACCATTTCTTGTCACAAAGTAGTTAATATCAATTAAATTTGAGGAACAATGAATCTCATTTCTAATGAATAAACCAAGCGTTGAATCAACCTATTCTTAAGCAGTTAGCCTCTCAATCAAGCAACGTGTATACTTGTTTGAAATTAAAAAATCAAACACTTAAATTTTCCAAAGCTTTAAAAAGATGAACATGTAAAGAAGATTAATTGTAGTCAGAGAATTATGAGCATAGTAAGGAAATCATAAGAGATATAATTATAAAAGTGGTATAATAATCGCTTTCTAAGAAATAACCTATCACCAACAACAAAAAATATTTCATCAAGTTGAAAGAATAAAGTCAACATATTGTAACAGTTATTTAAATCGTAAGAGTTAAACACGGAGTTGAGTGAATATAAACCTCCAGAGAACTGAAAAAAAAATACTTTTAAGGTTGTGGAACATTTTTTCAAGACATATATTTATATGCAAATGACACCTTCTTAGTTTACGCTGAATAACAGTATCACACACCTTTTGATTCAACGCACTGATAATCTGAGCAAAACCTAAGTTAGATAGAATGAAATCTTTTGAAAATAAAGGTCATACTGTGGTGCGTGCTACTTATATTGATATAAGTAGTATATAACGTGAGTCAAAAGAACGTAACGTCTGGCAGCAGAAGATGGAAAAGATCAAGAAAAGAGGAGCAAGAAAACAATGGAATTTGTAAGAAATCGCATGAACAATGAAATGCGAGACAATGGATTGATGTTTGCAAAAGCAACAGTCCGGTTTGATATGATAGAATAATATTTTGCAAATAAACGATTTACTATATGGTTTTTCTATTTTACCAAGTAATTCTGTAATTTGTCTTGAAAATACATTTTGGTTGTCCTCACTCGTGTTCTCCTTCACTACAATGCAACGTTGTAGGAAGTCGATAGTGCACCTTTTACGCAAATATATTTCTTTTTCAAATCTAGGACAATGGTAATCAAATGATAATAAATAAAATTATCACAAGGGGTTTTATGGAGATTTTAGTAATTTTATAGTTGGATGCATAAGCAAATTGAAGTTAGACAAACATGGAAAACCTGGAAGCACTGAACGACCGTTTCGTCCCAGCATGGGACTCCACAGCAGTGCGCACCCAAGAACCCGCCCAGCGAGATCCGAACCCAGGAAATGTTGGTCTCGTGAGCGAACGCTTAACCTCTAGACCACTGAGTCAGCACCCAACGGTGTTAATGTCTAACTTCAACCAACCCACGAAATTGAGCCACCGTCTACCATTGTCTTCAGTGAGTTACTACCTCCCAACAGACCCGGTTGAACTCCACTGGTCACTGCTTCTCACAAGAACTCCAGGAAATACCTCTTGAAGCCAATCACTATAAATAAAATACTTGTAAACTTAAGGTTGAAAAAACTTTCCATTAAAAATTAGTATGGACGAAGATGATGCGTCAAGTTTGTTGCATATACAAGACGCTAGGATATTTTTCATTAAGATGGTGTAATGCACTGCATATCACCACAGCCAAAACTTAATTGAATCGTCACTATTGCGAACAGTTTTACTTCATTACTGAACTAAGTGCAACTTAGCACAGCTTCTATCTGCAGTAATATGATCAAGAATCATTTTTATTTATTCATGTTCAATATTGATTCGAGTATTCCGTCTCTAAGCTGAAATTTGAATAAGTCAAGTTCATAAATGGAGGGCTTATCTATTTACTCAATTGAACTTTCAAAAGGTGTATGTTTCAGCGAGTAAACATTTTCAGAACAAAATGTAAAATAAATCAGGAACTACAAGAATTAATTGTAAAGCGCTTATAGGCTGTTTATTTATTTTACTGATTCTTCTTCTCTATTCCCTAAGATTTTCCATTTGCAAGAGAGTGCTCTACCATGGAGGAACAATAAAATGAACACGGATGGCATTGTAGTAATCATAATTTAACAGGGCGTTTTTATGTTGTTAACTATGCCATAAATAATAATTCGACAAAATTCATAACAGGATTTCTTAAACAATTGACAAGATCACACAAAACGGTAAATTTCAAACTTCCAGTCAAAATGCTTAAAAGCCAGATATTTAGTCACAAGTACCCTATGATTATGTAGACTCATTACTCACGTAACATCCCTAAAACACAAAATGTAATCCACCACAATTCGTACATCTCAATAAGTGCACAGCTGGATCATTTTCGCCATAAAACGAATTACAGACCTATAGTTTATTTAACGTGAAATATTGTCTCGACAGTTCGTGAATGGAGCGATAGCTTACAATTGAGACCATAAAACTATCAAAAAATACAAATGAATTCATCGAATAGTACCTACAATTTTTACACAACGCATTACCTGTATAAAATTTAGCGAATACTATTGTAAAGCCTGTTTGAATTTTAATCAAACGACAATATATAGCAACTATCCTACAACCAATTTCGACTATGATTAATTTTGGTTAAGCCTTTTTATTAACCTACTTAACAGGCAATGTTATTGGAACAGTGACAATTAGCATAATTTTTTGTATCGTTATGATCTATAGACCAGATCATATGACAGACTCGAGCCAAAATGTTGATTGCTTAAATATCACTCGATGACTCATCCTCCTCCCCATGTATGTATGAACTCAAATCCTATTATTAGCCTTTGCTTTGCCTTACTGTGCCCTTATGCAATTTAACTATAAATTTGCCTATGTAATTGCTTGTACATACTTATTCGCCTCTCCGCTTCGAATTCGCTCTATTGTTTATAGCTTTGTGATCTGCGCCATCCACCAATAAACTGTAGTTGCCGCTTCTCATTGCCTTCTGATTTCAAACACCGTTGAAATTTATATAATAACGGTTACAAGGGTGATTGATTGACGAAGCAAAGTCACTACAAACAATAATCTAAGAGATGGGTGTAAAAAATGGCTCAAGTATGTTTATTAATACCTAGACCTAATGAATAACGGATTTTAGGAGTGAAATAGCTATAGATTAGGAAATGAAAGTAATAAATATATTACTGATTAGTTTGATAATTTCAAGAGACATTTTCACCGTTTTTCTATGATGCATATTATAAACACTGTAGAGCTATCTGTTTCATTTAACCGTAAGGAATATGAGTTTTTTATGAGTGTGTATTATGTTGCTTCCGAGTAACGAAATGAAGTTGTTAATAAATAGAATGTCCAATATCAGTGGATGCTTGCTTACATTATAACACAATCGATAAAACATCATTAAGTTTTGATAGACTAACTAACCTAAAATTAAAAGCCAAAACCTCTTGAATAAAAGAGATGTTATCTAGTACTTAGTGAAAGAACAGTTTCCAGTGACCATAGCACAGATGGCCAGTTTCTACAGCCGACATACTGCGAATTTCATAAGGCATTAAACATATGATGTTACATAGGGCTATTATTATTTCACCATCTCTAAAACTCCGTTACCCAGATAAAACACTATGGGTTGATTGAAGTCAGGCTTTTATACTATTGAGTTCCGGCTCATTAGTCAATAGGTTGAGTTTGCACATAAAACCAAAACTCCGGGGTTCGATTTCCGGGTGTGGCGTCGTGCGTATGCACTAATTATTACTTCCACTCCTGGACTAAATGGAAGTCCAATGTTTCCAAGTTTTAAGTGATTGTCTAACTTAGATTTACATGTGATTTTAGTGAACTTTAACAACCTTCACAAATTCATACTAAAAATCCTTTGTGTCTACAAGAAAATAGACCAACTAACTAATTGGAAGCAATAATGTGGTTCCGTTAAGTGATCTCTTTGAGGATATGCTTACAAGACTTTCCTTAAACCAACCTCTTCATCGAACTACAACTTGGTTTTTATGACTCAATGGATATTTTTCGTTTATTCGATCAATTGGTTCGTCGTATAATGTGCGATATGCAAATCCATAAACAGAACGAAAGACGAACAAAAAAGTTAATACTTTAAATCTGGTAATTTAGATATTTCTAAGCTAGAATTATACAGATTCAAAATAAAATGAAGTAGTCTATTTTACATTCATAGTTCACTTATTCGAATAAATAATTAATTAGATGAAGATAAGAAAAGAAATACTTGAACCCTTTACTACATATGTAAGACAACATTTGAGTCACCAAACTAGGTTTACGCATATTTTTTGGACGATTCGGTAAGAGCGGAGTCAAACATTTAACAGCCACTATTTGTGATAAATCGACAATAAAAGATCACCGGTTAATAGAAACCCGAATTAAAATAAGCCTAGTATCATTATAGTATATCGCTGTTAATATACAAAAAGCGTAACCATGGCACTTCTGAGAAAAAAGTTAAATAATCTTGTCTAAAGAGTACCATATCTTCAAATGAACATCTCATAGAAATTAACGCAGCGTTCTGTACTTACTTCAGATCATAAATTGACCCTTTCCTTGATCCAACATTTAAACGTTTCGACCGTTCCGTATGGGGAAGTTCTACAACGGATTGTCTCCAATGGGCGTCTCGTACAATGGCGGGTGCACTTGTTCTTACTCCATCTACCACACACCAAGAAATCTTCAAAACGAAGATTAAAACAGATTGATAACACTGAACATGAAGTGGAATCATTTAACAGTCAAAGACTGTTCTTTAATGTCACATGATAGCATAAGCTACTGTTACATTTATTTTAAATATTTCATTATATAGACGGAAGCAACAATACAAATTGTAAATTTTAATATATCTGTCAAGTCATTAGACTTTGAGATACCATACAAACACCAAATCAATAAAAAATGTTATAATTATTTAGAAGAAAAAGTTGAATCAACTGAAAACAAATAGATGTAGGACTACGTGTTTAGCAGACATCTCAGTTAATCTATTTCAGCCCTTTAGTCTAAAACACACTACACAAAACAGCTCTTTCTTGTATTCAAGCAATCATAAATAGTTTTTATTTTTTAGGCTGTGATACAGTTAATATCAAATGAATCCTCAAGACATTAGGCAAAAGATAAAACGAATTATCAGTAGCTTAGATTATAATATGCTTATGTTTAATACACCGGTCCTTCCTCATTGCTTTCTAAATTTTAGAACTGTATCGATAAGTGAAATTAGTGACATCTGTGACAAACTTTTTAATGTAATTTTTATCCATTCAGATTAAACGTTTATTAATTTGCTGTGTTTTAGCATAGTTTGTACATCAATTAGAAAGTTCTTGTAGGTTATTTATTGAAACATGTTGAAATTTATGAATAAATAGATATACAGATTAGTAATGGGGAATTCTATTGCATTCTAGTATTAATTATTGTATAACTGTCATCATTTATGAACAAGTGATTCATTGGATTAGAAATCATTATATGCTTCATCTTAATTAGTTTACAATACATTATTATTACTGACAAATCTAACTTGGACATTTGAAAGTTACTTCATAAAATGGGATTATGGGTTTAGCTTTTGAAATCAAACTATTATAATTTATTAAAATTTGTCTGTGATACAAAACCTTCGAATCACTGAAATATGGTCGTAAAAGATAGACCTAATTAACGTGCGAATTTTATTTATGTAGCATTTAGCACCTTTGAGTATTTTACATTTTTGCGGCTATTTTGAAATATAGTTAATATTAACTAGTAAACAAGAATTTTATCTGTAATCAGTACTTCTTAAAAATTGTTTTTCCTTATTTCATCATATGTTCATTACGTTAGTGATCAAAATTTTTATGATATACTAGACTAGACTGATTAAAAATAAACAACCGAAAAGCAGTGACTCACTCTCCAATTAAAGTCGATTATCTCATTAATATCAATATCTTCATCATCTTCTCCCATTGGATTCACAAGTGTTTCAGCAACCTGAGTAAGAAAGGTAAAACAATAGGTATTGGAATCGAAGCACAAACATTTTAACTTGGTTATTAGTTCAGAATAAAAGTTGATTACAATGTGATTCATTTAAACTACTGTTAACACTGATATTCGATGAGATTATAAGCGATGCATTCAACGTACAATATACATCCTGAATCCAACCATTTAGGGAGTTTTTCAGTTTATTTATTGGATTAGTGTTGTATTCTATATGTCATTTTAAGCGGTGGAAGATGTCCTCAACTATCTGAGGTGAACTTGTAAACATAATACAAATCGCTGGCTAAACAACACAAATTTAATGAAAGTGAGGGTTTGTAATGAAATATTTAGTAAGAATTACTCTCTGGTAAACAGCACTTAATAAATGAACAGAAAAATGACCGAAAGTGCTTAGTACATCACACTTATCGAACAGTAAAAACGTTGTGGTTAACCACAGGCTTGAAATTTCAAATATGTTTAAGATTTGTTTAATTTTTTTTATCGTAGACAAATTAATGATTGCCAGTTGGACTATAGTACCTATTTTATCTGTGGAAAAACAGTAAAAGGTAAATTACAGTAGATTTGACACTTTTTATTACTTTTAACTCACTTTTAGCCATCCCACATAAACAAAAAGTTCCAGAAATGTGAAAAACGGGAAGAAAAGATCATGCGAACGTGCTATGCCTGCAAAAGGTGAACTGTTGATGATGAATTGACTACTTATAAGAGACGCGACAAAATAAGAGTACACAGATAGTGTGACAACCTAAATAATTATGGGAAAAAAAGAGATCCAATCAACAAATCCTATATGTCTTGTGTAATATACTTGTGTACGATATCTTGTTAATTCAGACAAACATAAACTTCATCCATGAACTTTAAAAAAGACCTCTTAGTTTATTACAGGTAAAGTTGGCAATAATTCCTCCACACGTGCAATTAACCGAAACTGATCGCCCCAGCTATTAATCAAAGAAATGAGGTTGTCTGACTAGACGAAGGATTCCAGAAAAAATTAAAATAAACTGCAGAACGTCTGTTTCGCTGTGAATGTCACATGTGTTACAGGTCAGTTTTAACTTTCGTGACAGTCTTCAGTAAAATTTGATTTGTGGATGTAGTAAGTAGCTTAATTGTAGTATTAACAGAAAACTATATATAATAGAGACAAAAAATATGCTTCGTCTTGATTGTCTGCATAAGAAGGAACTCTCACAACATTATCCACAAATGGTTTTAGATATATAGGTATTGAATGACGTTATAAAATTCTTTGTTTTGATTAAGAACACTGCTTGTTAACAGTAATGACGCTCAATTACAGTTTAATCTTACGGATGATATAAACGCAACTGAAAAATAAGTTATTGGTTAAACCTTCGTCGGTAAATATTTTGAAAGAATTATTTCTGAATAAACGTGGTTATCTAGTTTTCTTTACATAAGGTCAACTGATGGTTGTGAATATAAATTTTCTAGGCCTGAAAAAGGTGATGGGTTCATTTCGTTTATAGCCTAGCGAGAAAATGTTTAATTCGCTAGAAGCAAACTAACATTTGTGCACAGAAAACAAGTACTTCGATTTTCAACTATAGTAGGAAACTTTATCGATCGACTGAACAGACAAAGGAATAAAATGACACTATTACTAACCTGTGTATAAACCAACGGAATACAAACATCATCCATCATCATTATATATAATATTTTTTGACGGAAAGTGTTAAGTTCCTGTAAGAAAGTGGAAAATTAGGAATTTCAGCTATAGACAATACGAGAAAATAAAATGGAAAGAAACTACAATCAAAAGTCTATGAAACAAATTTTTTACCAAATATAAGGAATATCGTTCAGCTATAGTAGTTCCGTCGTCTTATTAATGTTTAAAATTGATCGTAGACCTGATGTTAAAAGTCACCGGATCGTCAAGTGAGATATTCATTGTTTATTAAATCGTACACATAAAAAGATAAAGCATTTGAATTCAATCACACAAAGAGGACTATAATTGCAAAAATCCGTAACGAAGTGAAAATGGAATTTTAATTTATTATCTCAACTGCATGATTGTATCTTTGTCACAACATTAAGTTTTTTTCATAAGCTTAAATCAATACTGCATTGTTAAGACACCTAGTTTCTCAATATGATGAATAATCATTTGTTAAAAAACATCAAACTACACACATTACACTATGGCAAAAAAGCACATTTCTAATGCCAGCAGTTATTTGACAAACTATTTCAAAATATTTATTAGCGACAATAATCGATTGCATTTCTGACGTAGGCTAGCAAAACACATGCACTCACTATGACAATAATGCATTCAAGCACTCTAAAAACTTCTAAATTTTAATTACTTTTCCAATATGAAACTAATAACTAATTTACTGATTGATCAATAGCATATGAGTTTGAACGTTTCATTTCGGATTGAAGTTTTGTCAATAACTTGGTATCCCGCTTTACTGTTAATCACCAGTGGGCGTATATATTACATCCAGATGAATACCCGCCATTAAGAAGTATTTCTGACATACACGATCTAAATACTGTAAGGTAAACAGTCAACCACAAAGGTATATATTTGGTCTAATACTAAGGCTGCTTCAAGAATAGCTGAATTCAAAACTTAAGACTTCCTATGACAAAAAATCTGAGTATCTGAAATTTTTGTCATCTTATCACATGACTCAGAAATACTTATGAGTTATTCTTTTCAAACATTTATGCTTGTCATTTTTAATAAAATCCTTTCAGGCTGTCAATTCTTAAATCACTAGGGTTGCTGAAAAACAACTTACGTCTACCAAAAGAACGTATGCATGGGGATTTTTTATCAGTCCTTCTTTTCTAGCTAAAGTGATAAGAGAAGTCGCCCATACAACAGGAACAAATGGTTGCATATGAACAGATTGTACACTTCTAATAATTCTTGCTTCATCCTCGGTAAGTACGCCTGTCAAAATGAAAAGGTGAAATATCTGATATAGTTGCAAACTGATATGGTGAATACATAATTTAATGATGCTTCTTTAGGTAAAAACTAGTTTCAATTTTCGAGAAAAATCAATCAAAAAGTCAAGTGGAGAGTATACAAAACTCTCGGAAGCATATATCTGATGGTATTTTCCTAAACTTAAAGCATTTCCAAGCAGTTTGTGTAATTCCATGAGGTTACTATTCGTCATACATCTTAAATTCAAAGACAGCCATTGCAGCAGAATAAATGAATTCATAGTATTCTGCTGCTTATTTTCGTATGCTTACAACCTTGAAACAACAGTATTTATGTTTAAACAGATTTCTGAAAATTTCCACGATCATTGTCCTTTGATAATCCATATCTACATCCCGAACCTCAAATTAATCAGGACTTTTTCGACACAAAATATTTATATTTGTTTCATTTCTATTCATTAGAAACTTAAGAATGGTACATAATAATCCCGTGTTAAACAGAGTAATACCACGCACAACCCACTATTAAGTTTCAGAACGCTGCCATTTAAATGAGTTGTGATCTAGATATACTATTTTACAACATTAAATATATTCTATTTGATTTAATAATTCATAATATTAAAATAGTATCAAAGGTAAACTTTGAGTATGACTACAAGCAAAATGTTTCATTGCTAAATCACCACTAGTTGATCGAATATACCTTCATTTAGCAATAATTTGATGAGCTTATTTCAGTCAGTCATTTTAGAACACGATGAATTCCAACGAAAAGCTGATTTAATTTATAAAATCTGATAACGGTAGATTTTATTAAGTTTTCTGCGAAAATGTCAATAAAAGATAAGTTAAAAAATCTACTTACTAAAGTGAAGATAAGTAATTCTAGCCCAAATGTTACTTGCCGAATTAAAAACGCATATGTACTGCCTTATCCGTTCAGTTTAAGACGTATATAACTGAATATCTTGAAACACGACCATTTTATGCTAGATGTCAACATTAATTTTGGTCATTGTATGAACTCTGCATGCGTACAAAACATTAAACCCAAATTTATGACCATGAAACTAATAACACACATCTCGTCGTAAACCACATAGTTGAAGAGTATTATGAAATACTGAAAAGATATGTGTACTGACAAATAAATTCAAATGGAAAGGAGACAAGCACTTTTATGACCAACATCCAAAATCCGACCAACGCTAATTTTATACAATAGGAAACTTTTAAAAACTAATAAGCATACCTTGGGCTGAATTTCGGTAAACTACCTTCTAGATTTCTTTTAAATTAGTTACGCTTTACACACAAGTAAGCTAACGGATGAATATGAAGGGTTATATGACTATTTGATGTTCGTTTTTATCACGTACTGACATCAGGAAAATGTATTCCAAGAATAAACAACTCCTAGGTTCATTTACCAATTTCCATTCATCAGGCACGTTTACTTGTGAAGAGTAGCTTGACAAAAAGTTGTATTCCCTAGACGTTTTGTTAGCAGAAGCTACAAGAATTCGAGCTAAAAACCTTCATTTCTACATTCAAATTTGTAACACCTCTACCTTTAAAATGAAGAGTATTCTTTTGAATAAATTTTCTTTAAGTTCTACAGATATACATCCGAATCGATAATCCAAAAAGTGGCCAGCACAGTACATCGTTTAAAATTATAACATACGAATTTAGGGTTGTGAAATAAAATAAAATTGTTCATGTTGATATGAATAATATGCAATGTTAATTTAAATAGGTTTATACTTTAGATGAAATGGTGCTAAGTAGATTGATCATGTGTTCAATAGATTAATAGTGATAGTAAACCAATAATAACAACAGTAATAGTAAGAAGAGAATGATATTATTATATTATACCGTTATATTGTATTATATTTCATCTCAATTTCAGCATTTCATCTTATCATGCTGAGCCTTCCTTTCCCAATTATAATTTCCCTATCTATGTTCTTGATGAATATTCAACCCCTCAACAATAAAACTATTTTCAGTTTCATAAGCAAAGATGGATGGTGGCTAGCAGTGGAATCCAGGACGCGCGTTTCGTCTTGTTCGGAACTCACCAGCTGTATGTACCTGTAATATCGAGGCAGCCCGCACAGGATGCACATATGCCAACAAGAGACTGATCGATTGCAGTCCTAAACAACAATGGGAAGATACAAGCAAACAATACCAAGTGTATTTTCAGTTTCCCTGATAACAATAGCGTTTCAGTCCATTCTTTATTCTACCTCAGCTACCATGTTTAACATAATTTTAATATCGCTACTATTGTAATTTTTATAAGCTTGAAAAATCAGTATTTACTTGCAATTATACAGCTATGAAAATAAATTCACTGAAATGAGAACTCTTCGCTGAACCAATCTTTCTTACAATTATATTTGACTAAGAAAGGTTGTCCTTTAAAAACAAAGGCGATAGCCATTCTGATTAAGAAGCCACAACTAAGTGTGCATAAAAGTATCGTTAACCGTTTTTCTTACTTTGGCGAACCTCATGGGCAATTAATCGATAGCAATCTGAACTATTAAGTGACCTGGTTTTTCGAAAGTACATACAACCTTCTTAGTCAAATATAATTATCTTTGTAATATAGATGATAATAATCTTAAATGTTTGGTTTTTAAACCTTTGACCAACTTTCTGTGTATTTTGTCTCTTTACCAGGTTGTTTATTTTTCTTAGATTTACTTCTGTATTCGCCCTCTTACTACTAATTCTTACTTTATTCATTACGACTAATCATGTAGTCCATTTTTATTGCTATACCTAAGTAATAAATTCTCTTGAATAATCTGACAGTTTTCATATATGCGAATAACTACCACCATTAAGTGTTTGTTTATGTGTTTTTCTTAAGTTAATTTTACTGAATAATGTATATTGAGTTTAAGCTCAAAAATCTGCCTAAACAAAGATATATTTGTGATATTCCAATGAGTAGAAATTCAGACTTCTGTTTTTTAACTTTATGTAAGCCACTTCTTCAGAGCAAACAAATAAGGAATTAACTAATTAAAAAAAGTTCAAATAGTATATAGGAACAAGGGATAACATTTAGTTCAATCAAAAATAAAATATGATAGTCTTTCTAGTGATGATAAATGTGTCATTACATATCTAAGCCAGATGTATGACCTGATGGTACTGACAAAAATCAGTGACTCAATATGAAACATAAGTAAATTAGCAAACATTGGAGACGTTAGAAATCTTATGGCCACTTCATTTTTTTATTTGCATAACGTCTCTTCAGAGGTAGGAAGCGTTGAATCGAAGCATGGTTTGAGGGACTTCATGATTAATCTTGTGCATAACGAGATCTGATGCATAGAGTATTGTCATTCTCTGGTAAGCCATCCATAAACTCTAAGTCTCTATCGATTAGAATACTAGTTTATATATATATACATCATAGCCTAGCATTGTTTCGATCTCTTTGACAGATAATTTCGAGATCTTTTATTTGGAAGGCCACCTCTAATTTCTTTTGACAAGTTAAAAGGATTATTAATTATTTTCCCGTGACATTGCATAAAACACGTGAAAAGGAGCAGTTCAACAAATTATTTCGTGCTCCGAATCAAAATACCAGAAATTTTATACTACAGCTTTGGATGTAGTGGACATCTGAATATTCATCTTAGAGACCAGTTGACTCCCAGTATAACTGATTGTAAGCTGAAGCGACGGCTTATACCCTCGGATAGTTGGAGATCCATGACTCACATATTCAAACGTTAGTATTTATAATAACGATGCTGTTGCGACACAGTATGATGTACCATTATTGAATGTGAATAAACACACTACACTAATAAACTCCAGATTTCCTCGGACAGAATCCGCTCTAATTTATTCAGCTAAATTAATAATTCTAAAATTACTTCAAATTCGCATATGGGTATCAAAATCTACATTTCATGTGATAAATTGTATCTTCGTACTTCGTGAAAGCTTCATCATGCATGTCACCATGAATGTGGAGGAGTAGGACATATTGGGGAAAATTTTAAAATCTCCAAGTCGTTTGTTTCTAAAATAGTGGGTAATCATTTAGGAATAGACTTTTTATCACTTACTACCAACTGTATCAGTACCTTACACATGACCAGTACAGGCAAATCCCAATCATTTACTGTCGATACTGATAACATAGAGTCAATCATCAATTTAAGTAATGAGACTGAAGATATACTATAATAATTACGAAGGTCAAAGTGTCTTCATAAGATAGACCTAAAATATATATATTTACAAACTTCACTGGATGGAATTGTAGTGTGCTGCCGATGCCGACAGATATAAGTAGTATGTATCATCAATCAAAAGTGAAATGTCTGGCAGCACAAATTAAGATCAAAAAAAGAGAACGAGAACAAAGAATGATTGATGTGGAATCGAAAGAACAGTGAAGCCTGAGACAATTTATTGATATTTTGCAAATTAAGTATTTAATATATGGTTCTCAGATTTTAATAAAATGTTCCGTAATTTTGTGTTCAAATACATTCGATTGTCTCCACTTGTGTTCTCGTTCACTACAAAACCTCTAGCGAACTGACTTGTTATTTCACAAATTAGGCTACACTGAAACAAATTCCTGCCGTTCGGATTAAACGTTTCCCGTGCGATATTTCAGGAGGTTGCAACTAAAAATATTACCGATCTTGATGGTGTTCAATCGTATCAAAATGATTTCTTAATTTATGCTGCAAATATTGAGTTGCGTAATGAACATCCTTTAAAGTTAGACGGACGCTTTTATGATACAAATATTCTCACAAACGTATCCAAGTTCCATTTCAACTTAATTCTATCAACTCCCCAGGTTATATTAAATTTCAAGGAGTTTCAATCTGATATGAGTTGGAATATGTTTTAGAAAATGAGAGAAGATACATCACTACATACTGGAGTTCATTTTGTTCTTTGATGACAGAATAATTATCTTCATTGCTTAAATTTATGGTGCTAGATGGTCTTCACTATGGCCATCTGCGAGTGAAACAATTAGAATAACATGCTCGTTAGATATGATGCCATGTGATTTATGCTGATGTAAGTCGAATACCGAAAAATCATCCTGCTTGTTTGCACAGGGTTTCATATGATGAAATTACTTGAAATCCTTGGCCAACACCTTACGGATTGTGTCAACGTATTAACGCCGATTACTGAATTCCATTGTATACTAGTATTATGCTTTATTTGCTACAGATTCATAACTCAGACGGTTAGGAGTGGTAATCATTAATAGTCCATGGAGGAAATTTGCTGAGTGATTAGAGAAAAAGGTATTTTGTAGCGATAGGGTTCTCAATATAATAAATGAACCCATTTCCCACATAAACATTTAACGCACAGCCTAACGATATTGGATACTGTCGTTTATTTACAAATCTACGCCATCCCTAGCTTAAAGGTTCAACAGTAAACATTTTTTAAACCTTGATAAATGCTATCATATCAGTAAATTGAAGTTGTTCGAAAATGAAAAACCATCAGCAGCGTTTCACTACAATATAATAACGTAGAGCATTTACAAGCTCGCCAAGGCCCAGGTAAAGTTTTCAAAACTTATATACTTCGAACTTGTTCACTGGGCACAACATGAATAAAAGTACATTTTTACCGAGGAAATAAGCATTGACCAACTTCAGGAATTCTAATTCAGAAATGAGTAGCCAGATGATAACAAATCATTACACTCAGTGACTTGAAAGTGGTTAAAGATAAATCCGTACAGTTAGACGTTCTGATGACTTGGTTGTATTAGTATGTAATAGTAGCAGAAGTATGGTTTAGAAGTTATCATGTAGCTTAAAAGCTATATTCTTTTGCAGTTAAGAATCATTAATTGGTACTTCGCTGTAATATGTTCCATTACCCGCCTAATACTAAGCCCTCCAAAATTAATATACGGTTGTCTGATTTCAGGATTTGTCTGTCATCTGTAGTATGTGAATACAAGACGAAAATATGTCCCTTAATTACTTCAGTCATATTTTGTCATCTTAAATGCAAACTTAGTGGTTTTTATCCTTCAAGTAAAGTTTAGTTTACTGACCGAAAAGTGCAATCAAACCAGTGTCTGGACATCCAACTTCTGTACACTGTCACGAAACCAAAACTACTTCAGAAGCATTCAGTCTTAGATAAAAATAAAAACTAGCAACATTGAAGGCTAATATGTTGGCCAACATTAGTTGACTACAGCCTTTATCACGACATACAGCAAACAAAATAAGTTACCTGAAGCAACGAAAAGCTCAAAAGTTGGAAAACGTTTCTTGACGACGACATTAAGATGGGCAGCTGCAATTATAAGATTTGCCATAATATATCTCATGCATGTCCGACGTATTAGACGATTGCGTTCTGAGCTACCGGGAAGGTGGGTAACAAGAGTAAGTGCGAAACTCATCACCCACGGAATCGTCGTGAAATAGTTCCAAAAGCGTGCGAAAACTAAGGCAACATAAAAACCAAGGATAAATGCAACCGGAATCATAGCTTGGAACCTGGAAGTAAATAGAATCAGACGTTCAAAATTTCTAAGATGTCAGTTATCTATCAATATAAATTGCTTACCTTTGTGCGTTCTCAGAAATTGCAAACCGATACAAACAGCTTATTAATGTATAAATAGAAGCAAATATGATCAGGTCAAGTGAAATCAGCTTCAATACACCTCCTCTCCATCTGAAGATGTTAATTACGGTAAGTCTAATACTTTAAAAGAAGACGAAAAAATATTCCAGGACCCCCAGTAAGGACAAACTGATTATATTGGACAGTCATCAATGATATTTCCTGCAGGTTTTCGTCAAATACCACTGTCGATTTAATACAATGACGAATCGACAATTAAAACGTAATTGCTAAGGACGACTGACATATAGGGTTAACTGAACCACGGTTCTTCTAAACGCCTTAGATAGCAAACAACGACAATTTCATCAACAAATGGATAGAAAATAACCAGAATTCCATCTACATTATTATTCAAACGACAAAAAACAAGCTGACGTACTCAGCTGGCATGCGTTTTATACAATAATATCAAACTCAAGGCAAAAATGACTATGCGTGCAACCTATCACATCAAACAAAAAAAAACGAAATCCAATCGCCTATAGCGTAAAGAAACGAAAAACCGGCGGAGAAAACGAAACCAAAATAAACAGTAAAAACACAAAACCAAAACTGAATAATATTCGAAAGGACATCAATCACCTAAAAATAAAATCGGCGACAAGAAATGTACAGCAATATCTCCATCTAATAAAACATCAGACAGAGTGACTAGATGTGGTCTCACACTTCACTGACCAACACCTCTAGATAAGTGATTGTCACTTGATGTCTCCTCCATGCAACATGTCTTGGAAGACGATTCAGACTGATTCTCGAATCACTCATCCAGTATATCGCTCCTAATTTATTATCTAATTATTTTCGTGCTTACACATATTCTTTCCATTCTACTTGATAATTTAATTCAATATCAACAGCTCCTCTAACCATTTGTCTTTCCTTTCCGATCTGTTCACACCAGTGAATTATCGTAATTAATTTTCCGATGACAATTCTGATTCAAACAACAGATAAGAGAAGCTAATCTCCGAATTCTCACGCTTTATTAAAACACACTGTATTGAGCGAACACTGACACCACTTCCAAACGTACATTTCAGTGTTCTGGTGAATCGATCCTGTGGTAGGCGGCAAATAATCATATCCTAGTCAAACTTGTGTCACAAACTCATCGTAAAGGGTTCTGTGTGCACAAGTTGGATTATTTGTGTGAGAACAGTGTCCTCGCACCTGACATACGAATAACACCTGAGACAATATTACCTTTAATCAATCACTCAAACTTGCGAATTCGGTTAACTATATTTCAGTAACTATCGGTTCCTCACAGTCATACGTGTGTATACTAGTAATCAACCGGTGCTTGCACTATGCATACATACACTTGTTGTCTAATCGATTATCACTTATCTGTAAATTAGTGGGGGGAGGAGATTTGGCACGTCACCGGATGCGACTTATTCTCACTTCGTTCTACTTAAAGCATTTCGCTTTTCTTCAATCACTACAAGTTCTCATCAAGCAACATCTCAGATGCTCCTCAACAAGATTGTTCATTTGATAGACGTCCTGTGAATCAATAAACACTGAATTGGTGTAATCAACTGGTCAAATTATACTACATCATGTAATCTACTTGGTGACGCATTTCACAAACTTGGTCAATAAAATCAACACTACAGTTCTGAGGAGAACACTTGTTCACAACGTGAGAATAATCTAATCAAGTCAGTTCATTTGATCACCTACTAGCCATAATCCTGTCTAAATCTTGAATTGTGAACCTATTTATTCTACTATTTGTCTTAACTCCAATACACTTTCTCCTGGTTTCGTGCTATTAAATATATAGTCACATCGATTATCCCTTGTTATAATTTGGTAAAATGTGATCAGTCGAACCGAAGCACTACACACTTTGCAACTTTCTCATCCAACTGTCATTAGCATGAATAAGGAGGTTGGTTGAATCGAGGAAACTTGGATGTCTACAAATATAAGTGAGAATACTACCAACCGATTGGTACAACGGAGAGAATGAGAAATATAATCGCTTTCCACCTTGCAATTCCACACACTACATCGTCACTTAGCAGTAATCAGCTAGACACAATCGACAGACCGAATTAGTCAGATGCTGTCAATATCCACAGGAAACCTGTCTCCATCAACCACAGCTCGGAACCAACCATAGAATATATTGAGAATAGTGTCAATCCACTACAACACCAGACAGAGTGACTAGATGTGGTCTCACACTTCACTGACCAACACCTCTAGATAAGTGATTGTCACTTGATGTCTCCTCCATGCAACATGTCTTGGAAGACGATTCAGACTGATTCTCGAATCACTCATCCAGTATATCGCTCCTAATTTATTATCTAATTATTTTCGTGCTTACACATATTCTTTCCATTCTACTTGATAATTTAATTCAATATCAACAGCTCCTCTAACCATTTGTCTTTCCTTTCCGATCTGTTCACACCAGTGAATTATCGTAATTAATTTTCCGATGACAATTCTGATTCAAACAACAGATAAGAGAAGCTAATCTCCGAATTCTCACGCTTTATTAAAACACACTGTATTGAGCGAACACTGACACCACTTCCAAACGTACATTTCAGTGTTCTGGTGAATCGATCCTGTGGTAGGCGGCAAATAATCATATCCTAGTCAAACTTGTGTCACAAACTCATCGTAAAGGGTTCTGTGTGCACAAGTTGGATTATTTGTGTGAGAACAGTGTCCTCGCACCTGACATACGAATAACACCTGAGACAATATTACCTTTAATCAATCACTCAAACTTGCGAATTCGGTTAACTATATTTCAGTAACTATCGGTTCCTCACAGTCATACGTGTGTATACTAGTAATCAACCGGTGCTTGCACTATGCATACATACACTTGTTGTCTAATCGATTATCACTTATCTGTAAATTAGTGGGGGGAGGAGATTTGGCACGTCACCGGATGCGACTTATTCTCACTTCGTTCTACTTAAAGCATTTCGCTTTTCTTCAATCACTACAAGTTCTCATCAAGCAACATCTCAGATGCTCCTCAACAAGATTGTTCATTTGATAGACGTCCTGTGAATCAATAAACACTGAATTGGTGTAATCAACTGGTCAAATTATACTACATCATGTAATCTACTTGGTGACGCATTTCACAAACTTGGTCAATAAAATCAACACTACAGTTCTGAGGAGAACACTTGTTCACAACGTGAGAATAATCTAATCAAGTCAGTTCATTTGATCACCTACTAGCCATAATCCTGTCTAAATCTTGAATTGTGAACCTATTTATTCTACTATTTGTCTTAACTCCAATACACTTTCTCCTGGTTTCGTGCTATTAAATATATAGTCACATCGATTATCCCTTGTTATAATTTGGTAAAATGTGATCAGTCGAACCGAAGCACTACACACTTTGCAACTTTCTCATCCAACTGTCATTAGCATGAATAAGGAGGTTGGTTGAATCGAGGAAACTTGGATGTCTACAAATATAAGTGAGAATACTACCAACCGATTGGTACAACGGAGAGAATGAGAAATATAATCGCTTTCCACCTTGCAATTCCACACACTACATCGTCACTTAGCAGTAATCAGCTAGACACAATCGACAGACCGAATTAGTCAGATGCTGTCAATATCCACAGGAAACCTGTCTCCATCAACCACAGCTCGGAACCAACCATAGAATATATTGAGAATAGTGTCAATCCACTACAACACCAGACAGAGTGACTAGATGTGGTCTCACACTTCACTGACCAACACCTCTAGATAAGTGATTGTCACTTGATGTCTCCTCCATGCAACATGTCTTGGAAGACGATTCAGACTGATTCTCGAATCACTCATCCAGTATATCGCTCCTAATTTATTATCTAATTATTTTCGTGCTTACACATATTCTTTCCATTCTACTTGATAATTTAATTCAATATCAACAGCTCCTCTAACCATTTGTCTTTCCTTTCCGATCTGTTCACACCAGTGAATTATCGTAATTAATTTTCCGATGACAATTCTGATTCAAACAACAGATAAGAGAAGCTAATCTCCGAATTCTCACGCTTTATTAAAACACACTGTATTGAGCGAACACTGACACCACTTCCAAACGTACATTTCAGTGTTCTGGTGAATCGATCCTGTGGTAGGCGGCAAATAATCATATCCTAGTCAAACTTGTGTCACAAACTCATCGTAAAGGGTTCTGTGTGCACAAGTTGGATTATTTGTGTGAGAACAGTGTCCTCGCACCTGACATACGAATAACACCTGAGACAATATTACCTTTAATCAATCACTCAAACTTGCGAATTCGGTTAACTATATTTCAGTAACTATCGGTTCCTCACAGTCATACGTGTGTATACTAGTAATCAACCGGTGCTTGCACTATGCATACATACACTTGTTGTCTAATCGATTATCACTTATCTGTAAATTAGTGGGGGGAGGAGATTTGGCACGTCACCGGATGCGACTTATTCTCACTTCGTTCTACTTAAAGCATTTCGCTTTTCTTCAATCACTACAAGTTCTCATCAAGCAACATCTCAGATGCTCCTCAACAAGATTGTTCATTTGATAGACGTCCTGTGAATCAATAAACACTGAATTGGTGTAATCAACTGGTCAAATTATACTACATCATGTAATCTACTTGGTGACGCATTTCACAAACTTGGTCAATAAAATCAACACTACAGTTCTGAGGAGAACACTTGTTCACAACGTGAGAATAATCTAATCAAGTCAGTTCATTTGATCACCTACTAGCCATAATCCTGTCTAAATCTTGAATTGTGAACCTATTTATTCTACTATTTGTCTTAACTCCAATACACTTTCTCCTGGTTTCGTGCTATTAAATATATAGTCACATCGATTATCCCTTGTTATAATTTGGTAAAATGTGATCAGTCGAACCGAAGCACTACACACTTTGCAACTTTCTCATCCAACTGTCATTAGCATGAATAAGGAGGTTGGTTGAATCGAGGAAACTTGGATGTCTACAAATATAAGTGAGAATACTACCAACCGATTGGTACAACGGAGAGAATGAGAAATATAATCGCTTTCCACCTTGCAATTCCACACACTACATCGTCACTTAGCAGTAATCAGCTAGACACAATCGACAGACCGAATTAGTCAGATGCTGTCAATATCCACAGGAAACCTGTCTCCATCAACCACAGCTCGGAACCAACCATAGAATATATTGAGAATAGTGTCAATCCACTACAACACCAGACAGAGTGACTAGATGTGGTCTCACACTTCACTGACCAACACCTCTAGATAAGTGATTGTCACTTGATGTCTCCTCCATGCAACATGTCTTGGAAGACGATTCAGACTGATTCTCGAATCACTCATCCAGTATATCGCTCCTAATTTATTATCTAATTATTTTCGTGCTTACACATATTCTTTCCATTCTACTTGATAATTTAATTCAATATCAACAGCTCCTCTAACCATTTGTCTTTCCTTTCCGATCTGTTCACACCAGTGAATTATCGTAATTAATTTTCCGATGACAATTCTGATTCAAACAACAGATAAGAGAAGCTAATCTCCGAATTCTCACGCTTTATTAAAACACACTGTATTGAGCGAACACTGACACCACTTCCAAACGTACATTTCAGTGTTCTGGTGAATCGATCCTGTGGTAGGCGGCAAATAATCATATCCTAGTCAAACTTGTGTCACAAACTCATCGTAAAGGGTTCTGTGTGCACAAGTTGGATTATTTGTGTGAGAACAGTGTCCTCGCACCTGACATACGAATAACACCTGAGACAATATTACCTTTAATCAATCACTCAAACTTGCGAATTCGGTTAACTATATTTCAGTAACTATCGGTTCCTCACAGTCATACGTGTGTATACTAGTAATCAACCGGTGCTTGCACTATGCATACATACACTTGTTGTCTAATCGATTATCACTTATCTGTAAATTAGTGGGGGGAGGAGATTTGGCACGTCACCGGATGCGACTTATTCTCACTTCGTTCTACTTAAAGCATTTCGCTTTTCTTCAATCACTACAAGTTCTCATCAAGCAACATCTCAGATGCTCCTCAACAAGATTGTTCATTTGATAGACGTCCTGTGAATCAATAAACACTGAATTGGTGTAATCAACTGGTCAAATTATACTACATCATGTAATCTACTTGGTGACGCATTTCACAAACTTGGTCAATAAAATCAACACTACAGTTCTGAGGAGAACACTTGTTCACAACGTGGGAATAATCTAATCAAGTCAGTTCATTTGATCACCTACTAGCCATAATCCTGTCTAAATCTTGAATTGTGAACCTATTTATTCTACTATTTGTCTTAACTCCAATACACTTTCTCCTGGTTTCGTGCTATTAAATATATAGTCACATCGATTATCCCTTGTTATAATTTGGTAAAATGTGATCAGTCGAACCGAAGCACTACACACTTTGCAACTTTCTCATCCAACTGTCATTAGCATGAATAAGGAGGTTGGTTGAATCGAGGAAACTTGGATGTCTACAAATATAAGTGAGAATACTACCAACCGATTGGTACAACGGAGAGAATGAGAAATATAATCGCTTTCCACCTTGCAATTCCACACACTACATCGTCACTTAGCAGTAATCAGCTAGACACAATCGACAGACCGAATTAGTCAGATGCTGTCAATATCCACAGGAAACCTGTCTCCATCAACCACAGCTCGGAACCAACCATAGAATATATTGAGAATAGTGTCAATCCACTACAACACCAGACAGAGTGACTAGATGTGGTCTCACACTTCACTGACCAACACCTCTAGATAAGTGATTGTCACTTGATGTCTCCTCCATGCAACATGTCTTGGAAGACGATTCAGACTGATTCTCGAATCACTCATCCAGTATATCGCTCCTAATTTATTATCTAATTATTTTCGTGCTTACACATATTCTTTCCATTCTACTTGATAATTTAATTCAATATCAACAGCTCCTCTAACCATTTGTCTTTCCTTTCCGATCTGTTCACACCAGTGAATTATCGTAATTAATTTTCCGATGACAATTCTGATTCAAACAACAGATAAGAGAAGCTAATCTCCGAATTCTCACGCTTTATTAAAACACACTGTATTGAGCGAACACTGACACCACTTCCAAACGTACATTTCAGTGTTCTGGTGAATCGATCCTGTGGTAGGCGGCAAATAATCATATCCTAGTCAAACTTGTGTCACAAACTCATCGTAAAGGGTTCTGTGTGCACAAGTTGGATTATTTGTGTGAGAACAGTGTCCTCGCACCTGACATACGAATAACACCTGAGACAATATTACCTTTAATCAATCACTCAAACTTGCGAATTCGGTTAACTATATTTCAGTAACTATCGGTTCCTCACAGTCATACGTGTGTATACTAGTAATCAACCGGTGCTTGCACTATGCATACATACACTTGTTGTCTAATCGATTATCACTTATCTGTAAATTAGTGGGGGGAGGAGATTTGGCACGTCACCGGATGCGACTTATTCTCACTTCGTTCTACTTAAAGCATTTCGCTTTTCTTCAATCACTACAAGTTCTCATCAAGCAACATCTCAGATGCTCCTCAACAAGATTGTTCATTTGATAGACGTCCTGTGAATCAATAAACACTGAATTGGTGTAATCAACTGGTCAAATTATACTACATCATGTAATCTACTTGGTGACGCATTTCACAAACTTGGTCAATAAAATCAACACTACAGTTCTGAGGAGAACACTTGTTCACAACGTGGGAATAATCTAATCAAGTCAGTTCATTTGATCACCTACTAGCCATAATCCTGTCTAAATCTTGAATTGTGAACCTATTTATTCTACTATTTGTCTTAACTCCAATACACTTTCTCCTGGTTTCGTGCTATTAAATATATAGTCACATCGATTATCCCTTGTTATAATTTGGTAAAATGTGATCAGTCGAACCGAAGCACTACACACTTTGCAACTTTCTCATCCAACTGTCATTAGCATGAATAAGGAGGTTGGTTGAATCGAGGAAACTTGGATGTCTACAAATATAAGTGAGAATACTACCAACCGATTGGTACAACGGAGAGAATGAGAAATATAATCGCTTTCCACCTTGCAATTCCACACACTACATCGTCACTTAGCAGTAATCAGCTAGACACAATCGACAGACCGAATTAGTCAGATGCTGTCAATATCCACAGGAAACCTGTCTCCATCAACCACAGCTCGGAACCAACCATAGAATATATTGAGAATAGTGTCAATCCACTACAACACCAGACAGAGTGACTAGATGTGGTCTCACACTTCACTGACCAACACCTCTAGATAAGTGATTGTCACTTGATGTCTCCTCCATGCAACATGTCTTGGAAGACGATTCAGACTGATTCTCGAATCACTCATCCAGTATATCGCTCCTAATTTATTATCTAATTATTTTCGTGCTTACACATATTCTTTCCATTCTACTTGATAATTTAATTCAATATCAACAGCTCCTCTAACCATTTGTCTTTCCTTTCCGATCTGTTCACACCAGTGAATTATCGTAATTAATTTTCCGATGACAATTCTGATTCAAACAACAGATAAGAGAAGCTAATCTCCGAATTCTCACGCTTTATTAAAACACACTGTATTGAGCGAACACTGACACCACTTCCAAACGTACATTTCAGTGTTCTGGTGAATCGATCCTGTGGTAGGCGGCAAATAATCATATCCTATCGTAACGTTTTTTCACAAACTTTACATTTTTCACTACCTTGCTTTTAAATGTGTTATGGTACATTCAGAAAGTGGTGATTATTTTCTGAACTTCAGTTTTTTTTATACTTTTTTTATCAGATGTAGGGAATTAATTTGGAGTAAGATTATGGGCATTCCCCAGTGGAACGGAAGAGTTTGACGTTTAGCACATAACAAATACATGATTTTATGATAGTTTACAATGATATTAATGTCTTTACAAATAGTGAGCATTAGTAAGTCTATATTTACAAACAAGTGATAGGATGTTATGATCGGTTTCATTGTCAATTGCCCATGTTCTGGTTATCTCATCGGCGTAAACGGCGTATTGCATGAGCTTTTTTACGGATTTCTTTGTTTTCTTGAGCGCTAATTTACGAAGGATAAGAATTTAAATTAATAAGCTTCAAAATTTTTGAATGGCATAATCAAGTGTATATTAAATAATATATCACGGCATTAAATTTGCAACACTATATCTGGTTCAGATGTGCTAGCATCAACTCGGTTTGCTTCGGTTTATAAGCGGAACGAAAATGATTTTTTACTTGTAGTGATTATGAAAGTGATATGTGGTGACAAGATACGTCGTGGGATGAATCAATGGGATTAAAAATATAGCATACATTTAAATATAAGCATCAGTGGATATATATCAAATAGATGAACGCTTGTTTTTGTGACTGATTCGAAGCCACGTTGAACAAATTAACATTTATTAAACGCAAAAATTGTGACGATTTTAACTGTGATGCAGGATGATGAAAGTCAAGCATGCTACCTTATTCTGAGTCAATATTGTTTAGATTTTGAGCCCATGAACTGATAAGCCTTTCAAGATAAACGATGTTTTGAATGAAATCACTCACTTCACTTTTACAACATTATGCATTGAATTGCATAGCTGAAAACAACGCTTACTGATGGTATTTTTAACTAAAGTGCTTATGGTTTGTATATGTAGGTTCTTAGGACAGTTGGACATTTCAGTTTCTAATCCTCGTTAACCAGTCGTCAGTTCATGAACTTTTGATCTTTCGGAGTTTTATATATATATATATATATATATATATATATATATATATATATATATATATATATATATATAGTTTTCGAAATTAACGGAGTTCGTTTCAAATCTGAATTCACCAAAACATTATTCATGCGTTAAAAAATCTGCACTAAGAAGCGATACCACATTTGTGATCAAATAATAGTAGCTGACGAGTATCTTCTACTCTTAATGGTCACATTTCGAGGCCGTAAAGTAGAGCAGAACCAACTGCTGTGCAGTATACTCGTCCGTTAATTGATAGACGGATATCTCGTCTTCGTCATAAGTGACGTAAATTAGCTAATGCCAAACGAGTATGCTGGATGCGTACAGAGATTTCGTTATACAACAACAGATAAGAGTTGATCAGACTTTCAAAATAAGTGAAGTTGTCGACGCGTTCACTCGCTATCAGATCGGATTACGTGCGGTTTCAAGATTTAGCTAAAATATTAGTCAACCTGACCGCTAAAACTAGACCTCTGGAGTCATATGAACCTGTTGCTATCCCTCGTTTAAGGTCAGCTCTAGATTTATTTACCTCCAATTACAGTCAGGGGGTCATTCGGACTGTTTAGAAATTTTGGGTAGCTGTAGAGTGACTGAAATGCTCCTTGAAGTGTTCCACCCCTCATTCTAAACGTCTAGACTGCGAGCGAATAAGTTTCGTCTTTTTCACAGATTGTTTCACTTGCACATGACTACTTAATCCCACTTTATTAGTCTGGAATATGTATTTGGCTTCCTCTAATGGATCTTCTTAGTGTGGCTTTTCCGCGTCGAGTGAGGCGCAAGCAAGTGTGTGCTCGTATTAGAGCATGATCAGAGTCTAAACATGTACTCCAGAACGAGCGGTAGTCTTCTATCGAGCCTCTCCTGCGATAACTGATAGCTATATGGTGTATTTGAGTCCATCGTTTGTTTGGTGCAGGGGGTCGCCATGTTCAACTAGGTCTCTCCTTATGCTTTAGATTAGTGCTTGCTAAAAATAAACGATTGTCTGAGCACAGTTGCAACAGACGATCACCATTATCTATTCATTGAGCCAAAATACCCATCTAACTTTCTTTCTGTTTGGCTTAACCTACCTATATACCTGGGCATTAAATTCACCTGCTACGAGTACTATGTCTGAGCGTTTAGCTTTATGAAGAAGTTCAGAAAGCTTTCTGTAAAAGCCATCTTTCACTTTATCCAGGCTGCAGTCAGTGGGAGCGTAGGCAGAAACGACGAAAAAGCAACGACGTGTGTCCCTATTCTTCCGAATTCCTACGCAGCCGTTTAGCCGAACAGCACATAGGCAACTGTTAACGGGAATCCACTCTAATAGTGCTTGTTCCGCCCTCGTACTTAGTGCTATGCCTACGACCGTCAGTCCACGAGAACTAACCATCGGGTCGCCAGATACACGGAGGGTGTATCTCGTCGGCTCTCCGTTTTGCCGAGGTGAGGTCAAGTGAATGGCCACACTAGGATCCTGTATGCGTGTTTCAGAGACATAGCATACATCAATGGTACGAGGTTCTAGGGTCTTAGTCAAGGAGGCCTGGTGGCCGACTTGACATAAGGTGCGTACGTTAAAGGCTCCAATGTATAGTTTGGAGGGAGGTTTCAGTAGACCGGGAGTGTTTTGCGCACTAGACTTGTTGGCTATGGTGACACTTGAGGAGGAAGCCGAAAGAGGAGGTTTAGAGTTGAAAGTCGATGTAGGAGGAATAATGAGAGTTGAAGATGGAGGTTGATTATGAATACAGTGGTCTTGAGTGCTGTTAGAGGTATGAGGGCAGTTATCATTTCCCGGTTGCCCACACTGTGGAAGGGTTTTTCTGGAGGTACCCGAAAAGGAAATTGGATTAGGGGTGTTCTAATTGACAATACGAAGTAGCGACTATATGCACATTACTCACTATTACTGATGTATATATTTAGGTCGCACAAAATATTGATACCGAGGTAAGTAAATTATTCAGAACACAATATTCCTTACTTGAGTTACCTGGTAAATTTTTAACTTACCCTTCGTTTGAATTTATGAAATTTGAAGGTTGAGACGAAGTTGTGAATGAAAGTGTGTCGCCACTCATTCTAAAAGCTGGATCGAAACTAAATCCACCTGTTTCCCGGTGATTGGGGAAAGTCAAAGGAGAAGTACGCGTATATACGTTTACTGCTGCCGAATTGCCTGGATTGGATGTGCATAATAATGCATTATTTTTCTGAACACTTGAATTTATAGGGTTGGCTGAAACAAGATTATTAGCGGTTGTGGATGTGAATCTAAAACCGATGCTATTCAGCAACTGAGTTTGCTCCAAGGACGAACGTACACTAGTAGCACTACTCGGTTTAATACCTTTGAAGTCATTGTTGCTGTTAATAATACCAAACTGAGATGACAACTTGAGTTGAGGTGTATGATTTGTCTGCAAAATAGAACCACCCCAAATAGATGGTTCTGATTGTTTTCCTCGAGGTGATTTACTGAGTGTATCAAAAGACTTCATTTCCTTATTGGGATGAGCTTTAAGATCTTGCTCCGAATTACGAACATCATTCGAAAGAAAAGCTTCTAACTTTACCGAATTAACAGGACCTCGAACACCAAACCCGAACTCAAAATGACCAGACGGTTGACCAGTTAATTTAGATAAGCTTGGGTTATTTGTAGTTATGTGACTATTTGGTTTTCCTGTAGAGCAACAGCAGCATTTATCCGATTTCTCGTTATTTTGTACCAAACAAGTGGGGCAATCCCACACACTTGTCGAGATATTTGTAGGCCTTAAAGTTTGACAGCATATGCAATTGGTCGCATTTTGTTCATTGAATACCATGCACGTAGGACACTCCCATTGCGAAGCCTCATTATTGACTGCTAATAAGCTTGATACTGATGTTTCCACTGTATGTACAGACGTTGGGGCAGACAATACATAATATAAATCCTTTGCATGCAGAGGTTTTGATTTTGGAAGGGAACAGCCTTGACATGCAACCCTTGTCTCTGAATTCTCCAACAAACAAGTTTCACAACGCCATGTATTAGTTTCTGTGACTGAGAAAAAAGTGAACTATTTTGTAGTAATAATATTATCCACAGTACTTAGTGTTAAAGTTATGATAATTACCGAGCTATTTGGTTGTAACACTTATGGTACCGACTCCTGTTTATGTTGACTGAAAATCAGACGGTACTTTCTATTCAACCTTGGCGGCGAGTCGCAAAATCAAGGGGAATATTTACGCTCAGATATCTCAATTGGGTAATCAGTATAGAGTAACTCGGTGAATGCTTAACGAGTGTTAATTAGGACCACTAAAAATAAGAAATCTTATTCACATATGCCTTTTTGAGTTGTTACTATTACAATCCTTAAAAAGTTATTTAATGGTTCATATATCTAAAATCTTAGCTAGTAATTAACGCATATCCATAATCGACAATGACTGTTTTATTCTAATAAAATCAGTTTCTGAAGTTAATAAAATCCAGATAAGCTAATATAATCCTACTAAATTATATATGGCTTTGTATTTCCGGTTTACCAAATAGTAGCGCTTTATTAATGAAAGTATGAAGTTTAGTAAAAAATGAAAACTCATGAAAACGAAAACCATATGCAAAACACACCTCTACATTTATCACTCAGTTCTGCCCATATTCAGTGCTTCCTAATAGTTTTGATACTGTTATTACTCAAAATGATATAGCATTTGTTTCGATAATTTCATCTCATCGTTCTGAAATGGTGGTAAATTGAACTGTACAAAAGGGGTACCGAATACATATGCGCCACACAAGTCACTTGATTTGTGTGGGCTGTGATACTGCCCGGGTGCCCAAACCGAAGCAGGAAATTGAACTGTGTCAGTCAATCATCATATACATAGAGCCTGAGACAGATATGAGTTGAACTAGGCTAACATACCACATTAGCACGATAAGACGGAATTAACAAGATGTACAACCAAAAGATCGGAATAATGTAGAACCAATAGTAATTAAAAATACGAAGCATTAAGAATAGGATTTGAAAAGATAGGGTGTAAAGGCATATACGAAGAAACATTAAAAGTTAAGATCAAAAGTCGACTTGTTGGCGCCGTTATGAACGATTCTATCTATTTACAGATTACGTTGTGTCAATTGTGATGAGTTGGAGTCTTCCCGTTAGATCTCGACTAATGCTAAGGTGCACGGAATTTACGCACAAGTTTAAAACAATTAGTCTTTTTGCTAAATTTCGATAACGCAATGAGAAGACGAAGGTTATCAGATTTATGTGATATTTGCGCAATGCAAAAAGACCCATTAATAAATCCTGTAATGGGAAAATTTAGTTTACATTAGCAATAGCAGTACATACTATTTTCAATAATCACCAAAATTGAAATCAAAAATATTAAAATAATTCAAAAAGGCTTTTCCGATTACAAAGAGGCGAGTAGCCGAAGCGTTTCACATAACGCTAGATCCCACTGCCCTGAATATTCATCTAACTCGGACCGTTTATCCAAACAATCACATTTGATCTTATTTATTTCCCATACAATCTAAACACAGACAGAAACTCGAACTTAACCCCACTACTTCATATTACAAATGTATATATTTTTTATACCATACCCACGTTCTGGGGCACAAATTAATACGGTGACAGGTTATAAAAATTCACCTTGACCAAGAATAACTTGACAATGACATATTCAGACTTTTATGATCTTCATCGTTCTAAAAATATTCTCCTTTGTTCCCTTTATACTACTTAAACTTGTGTCAACTTAACCCGGTTATTTATTTACTCTGAAGTGGCTTACATCAAGTCACGAAATGTCAAAAATACAATTTTTCTACCCACTGGGACATAACAAAAATTATTTATTATAAGATTTTAACTGAAGTTTGTTATCTAGTACTACAAATTGTCGATGATTCATTTGAGTGAAAACTAATGAAAATATGAAAATAAAGCGTCTAGTTGTAATACTATCAACGCATACCACCGTATCCACATCAAATTAATTTTTGCGAAAGTTTACTGGTTTCACAAGAACATCGCTATAGCAAAGTTCTACCATAAAATTTTATTCAGCTGTAAAGATTGGGACGGAACTACAGTCAAAAAATAATTGGTACAGATTAGGGACTTTATACACTGATATACTCTAGTAGCATTTTCGCGATTGTCGATGAACTAGTTAACAAATGGAAAATTCAGACGTACTTGGCACAGGATCCGCATTCTAAGGGCTGTTATATATGAGCAGAAAAGTTTAAATCTAGAAGGGGACTGTGAGAAATATTTTTGGTGGATATTTATTGTATACACAATGAGCACCTGGTCTACGGTACAAATGTATTATCCTGATTATAGACATTCATCTATGTTAATGCTTTTTTACCGTTCATGAATTTCATTTCCTTATGTACCTGTAATAATTATGTACAGATTCAATTCCCTATATATGGGGTTATGGTTTAGTAATTGATGTATATATTGTTTTCGAGTCGTATTGAAAAAATGAGTTAGCTTATGGTTTTCATGTCTTGATTAGGGATTGGGTATGGAGAAATCCGCATAGACTGGTCAATGTTAGGTATCACAGGGTCCACGAATGCTCTAATGTCAACGATGAGCTCGCTTTCCCTCTTTACACCCCACATATGGTTACGTTTTTAACCTCTTTCAAATAAATCCTACTCCCTATCTTCACGCAACTAAAGAATCATTTACGAAAGTGAGAGGATGAGAAGTAGATTTTCAGCACTTAGAGAGGGTTGGTTGACAGGGTCTACTTGAGGGAAGAGAATTTTGATTCTTAACAGATGGTGCACATAGACTCTGGGATTTTGAGAGGACGAATACCGTTCTGCTTATTTATTTATTTAAACACGCACACATAAGTACAAGAAAGCATCGAATACATATACGCCACACTTCGTCATTTAATTTGTGTGAGGGCTGCCATACTTTCCGCGTGCCCAAACCTAAGCAGGTGGTTTTCCAAGTAGGCTACTCCCCGAGCCCTTGACCTAAGAATCTAATCCATAAAGCGGTGCAGCAACATCATGAGATGCAGTTCCATAGTAGCCGGTGAACAACAATAGGTTCATACGCCATTTGTTCCCTTAGGATCCTGAAGCAGTTGCCGTTCCAATCAAATAACAAACCAAGCCAGAGTTGGGTCTAGCTTTGAGTGCATCGAAATGTAGATAAGCATCGGTTATTTTCATGAAATGAAAACGGTGTCATGTTGCTTGCGGCTTACAGACAAAAATTTTCCAAGTTTCCTACAGCCAAACTGGGGACAGCAAAGAATTAACTTCCTAAAATCAAGCTCAGGTGACCTACTACACATTTTCCGACGATGAACTTACGGTTAGAGAATTTTTTTATCGTTCCGAAAGGTTTGAGAGTGTTCAAACATCGTGGGATGAAGTGTCAGTCGTCAACATTCTCGGCAAGTGGCTACGTAATCTATGCAGCAACTTCCAGGTGTCAAGTTTAATACAGATTATGCTCAAAACATTGGCATCCGACGTTCTTCGAAGATGGCGCTCTACAGTATCAAAATTTAGGAAGACTAAATAAGAAAATAAGTACTGTGCCGGCAAGATGGACATTACCTTTGCTAACGTAAAGCGAACTCATCCTTAAATGTTGCATTCAGTGTAGACGTACAGGAGTCAATTCAAAACACAAGTAGCTTTCAGTAACTTTACTGCTTGTGGTTTTAATGGTCAGTAAGATACATATGAATATGCGAATTCCCAAAAACATGGATTCGTGGGATACAAAAACTTAAAAATGAATGAAAAAAGTAGTATGTAAGGTATAAAAATAAAGTGAGCGCGTTCGCGTTATTGTGACCGATTCTAAGCCATGTCACCTGTCGTCTCAAACCGTTGGTCAATATAACCGCTAAGACTTCAAATAAGAAGCTGGCACCTACCAACATAATTCAGTTCAACTACCAACGTCTTCCTAAACTGATGCCACTTTTTGGTTCGGCCACCACTACCTTTATTCCAGCCTACTCCTACACCAGAAAACCATCTATCGAGGTAGGCGGTGATTGAGCATACGTAGCACCCCGACCACCTCAGTTGATGAAGATTTACTACTTCATCAATCGATTTCTCATTTCTAACTAGTGCTCTATTCCTAACCCGGGCATTGCTTGCTGTGGTCCCAAAACACACCAGCAATATTTCGTAAACACCTATGAACTAATATAAGTAACCTGCGTATATCCCCTACTTTTAATGGTCATGTTTCACACCCATTAAGTAGAACGAAGCGAACTGCTGCGCAGGAAACTCGCCCTTTGACTGGGAGACGGATATCTCGCCTACACCACAAGTTACGAAAGTTAACAAAAGCCGATCAAACTTCTTTAATCCGTGCCGAGATTTCGTCAGATACAAAGACATCAGCACTGATAAGAATCCCAAGTGGTGCTGTCGACGCGCTCAACTACTTTACTCCTTATGATTAATTCAGAGACTGGCACAACATTTTACATTGAAAGCGAGAGAAACTCATCTCAAACATGCTAGTATTGTTGCTAAAGGTTGTTAGAAGACTGCATTTTGTCAACGTTTTCACCGAATAAAACTAAATCACCTAGCTATTCCAAGTTAATGAGGTAACATCCTGGTACAAGATCAATACCTGAAAAGTCAGACGATGAGACGTTATTTCTGAAAGCAGGTCTATGACAAAGTTAAATAAAAATTGGAAAAGTAGACAATCCCGACGAACACTATTCCAAGTAACTAATTCCGATGACACTTCGCCATAAGCACTAACTCAACCAGTAATGTTTGAATAGAGAGCATGTACAGAGTTTGCTTCGCCATGCCTTTTAATGACAAACACTGGGACAGAACCTCAGGACCGAGTCGAACACTCTCCTTCTATGTATTTATTTATTTGAACACAAATATTGGTACAAAGGGGCACAGAATATATATCCGCCACACAAGTCGCTTGATTTGTGTGTGGGCTGTCATACTGCCAAGGTGCTCAAACCAAAGCAGGTGGTTTTCTTAAGAGGCCACACCTGGAGCCTTCGATCTAAAGGCCTGATCTACAAGGTAGTAGAGCAACGTCAGGAGATTCAGTCCCATAGTGGCTGATGACCAACAATAGGTTCATACGCCATTTGTTTCCTCAGGATCCTGGAGCCCATATACACCATTAGTTTGGAATTAGGGTTTCTCAACTCCTCCTAGATTGATCCTCCATATCCACCCAGTTAAAGCGCCGGACATTCGCTTTTTGTTCTCTTAATTTCGTAAGCAACATCCCCTCCACAAGAAGACAGTAAGTAGGACTTTCATCGCGCTCAAAGAACATAACTGCGGTTGACACATTACTTAGACTGATTTCTATGACTGTCAAAAGAGGAATCTTGTCTTTTTTTATAAAGTGAGATGACTAGCCATCGAGACTAACCAGATGGAATAACGTGCATTTCCTAGATTTTAGCTAAGATTTCAGCTAATCTAACTCAAACTGCACCAGCATTCCTAAAAATCGCAGGGGCTAATCCATACGAATCTGCGGCCGCCATTTCTTATAAACTGAGGCGAATAGCGGTCGAGACCAACCAGACGAAACTACTTTCAGTCCTCAGATTTCAGCAAGCCAGACCACCACGTTAAGATAAAAGCTATGAACGGGAGAAATAAATATGATCGAATACTAGTAATCCAAGAATATTCTACCTCTAAAGTCACGTTACGCAATGCACTTTCACGGGAACTCCACCTTTTTTCTTCGTAAACTTCCAGCATATCTAATGGTAGTGTGAAACTACTTTCTGAACATGAAATCGTTTTGGACTTTGGATAGTTCTTCCAACTAGTCGTCTGTAAACACTCCGGAGTATGCAGACTAAATTCAAAGTAGTACTCAATAGCATGTTGTCACAAATCACGAGTAATCGATGACCAATGCAAGCTATCATAGATTTGTAGGTTTATTCTACTACCACTGTCTTTAACGCTAGACAAGGCTGACCAGCAGATATGGATGAGAAAGAGCATAGAAGCTTGAACGGCAAAACAATGTTCCAGATGTTACTTGTGAAACCAGATAACGTCGGTGACTAGAAATGGTTAACCTGGCATATGCCTAACCTGTTAATAATTAAGTTATGTAGTTATAGTACAATAACAGGGTTAGACAGTAAAATCAATAAAAGATCTTATGCTTGATAGTATCAAGATATACTTACTTTTTGATTTGACGGAATTACTTTCAGTAGTGATTTGTTGTATGTTAGATTTCGAACCAATTAGACCTGCCGAGCATTTAGAACACGAACGACTTGGACAGCTGAAAAGATATTCATGGTGAGCTATAGGTGACACAGCAGCTTTGCGATCATGCAGAGAAAAGTTGTGAATTGGATCTGCGAACGTGTATACAGGTAGTAATTTGTCTCCTGATTTACAAGTCTCTGAGATTGAACATTCGACAGTGACATGTCTCTGTTTTTGCAATCTCTCAGGAAATACTGCTGGCTTCGATGAAACATGAGGCTGCATATGATTTTTAACTCCGTTTTCACAAAATGAATGCGACTTGCAATCTTTACAAAGAGAATCGACTTTTTCATAACTTTTTAAGAACGGTGGAAACCGATGAGATTTCACACGAGTCTTGACCTTATAAAACAGAAAATTATAACAATGAATGATTTGAAAACTTAAACTTTAGTAACTCAATATACTTAAGGAATTGTGCCTTAATATTTCAGTACTTGTTAAGCAGTAAAAATGAGGTATCTGAAAAAATGTATATTTTTTGCTCAGGGTCAAGCATCGATGCCCTAGACAGCTGAAGAAAGTTATGGCCACTTATCCTGTCCAGAGAATGTCAGTCAGTTATCTACAACATAGGAGCAGGCACATATGTGCATCGGTCCAAGTTTCCACCTCATTAGCACAGCAAGATGAACACCAAATTCATAGAAGCAATTAACTCAATGGCGTAATATAAAGAGGAAAAATTGCATATAAGGATATATTACAGGAACAAATTAAAAATAATTAGCTTTTCGTCCACGTATGACGATTCGCGCTTACTTCCGTTTTTTAATCAGAATGTTGTAATTGTGCGCTTACGAAGACCGATCAAACATAGAGCTCACGTAAGCAGGATCGAAAACCTATGTATCACTATCCTTAGAAATGATGAGGAAGAAAGTTTAATACCTAAACACTAGATTTTGTGACTTGAGAAACCAAGAGAACGTTTTGAAGTTTAGTTTCCGAACTATGTGGGATATTTTTTGTTAATGGGAGTAGTCATCTTCAACCGCACTCAAAGTACTGATAAACTAAATCTAAACATATGTAAATAAACTACAAATTCAGACGAAACTGGACTTAAAGAAATACATACCTGTTTCACATGTCTTTGTACAGAAGACTGTAAATAACCTGAAGTGAGTGGAGCCGAAAGATTTTCTAACGTCTCGAGAATTCTCCGAGCAGTGGAACTCAAATTAGCGCTTGGGGCACTTCCAAGTTGAGAATTTCGATCTGAATATAGGTCAAATTTTAACGGCGTAGTAAACTAAAATTTAAAAAAATAGTTCCATGTATATGCAGTAACACGAAACCGACCATAAGGTTAGGATCCAATGGGAGGCAAATCAATAGGATTTAAACTAGAGTTGATTTTTGCAGATAACCGGTTAATTGAAAACGGCCATAGAAACGTTTTGTTTTATTAGTAATTCGCAATATGAGTAATTATGAAAGACTTGTTTCGATGAGCGTCATCGGCGTTAAAATGGACGTGCCACTTATCAATGATAGAATGAAATATGATTTAGTGGTAGCTACCCACGTAACCGGACTCCTGACTTAGAATACCTGGTAAACTAATATTGTAGTGAAGCACCAACGACAATATGTCAGTATGACTAATTATGTCCTCATATATTATCGAGATTAACATGATTCGATGTCATAAACCATATAATAATATTAGAACTTGTAGAACACGCGCCTGGCACGGAATCGAGAACAAGACGCTGGGCTTGGTTTATGCACATGAAACCACACACCAAACCAGACGTTATTCAATCAGTCGTAATCAACATATAACCCAGCACGTGTGCAACAACTGAGTGCTGCACATAGACACGAGATGACCTCTATGAATGCTACAGTAGTAGTCACATCGTTAATCGTAGGAAACACTACATGTCACCCACTCTTCTGACCGTACTATAGTTTAACGACAATAGTTCAACTGTAACTACAAGTAAACTTACTTCGAACAACTCTCGAGCATTACGACAACTGGCAGCTCCCCCGTATGTGGTTCCTAAACGAGAACGCCAAGTACATGAAGGACTAAGGTTCGGTGTTGTGGACAAGCGCTGGCGTTTTGGTAAGGGATAAGGATATGTTTTGAAGTCACTCCGGGAGGTCTGGCACGAAGGTGACTGTTTACAACAGGTTGTTTTTAATGAGTTGCACACTATTGTGTTCGTATAGCTATCTGAGCACAATTCCATACGTTGAGCCGTAGATCTACTTTGGCCGCTTTTGCATCCCAATACCCACGACTTAGGCATTAACGATGAAACTCCACTCGTAGAAAAGGAGTGGAGGCTGCATTCACTTTCTGATTTATCTGTTGCATCAAGGTCAACATTCGTATATCTCAAGCTGTGTTCCTTAAAGCCCCATGCTTTATCCTTGGGTCCTGGTTCATTACAATGATCAAGAACACCACTGATCCTTTTGAGGTTAGCTCTCAAATCTTCTTTAAGTGGGTCAACCGATTTCGCAGGAGAAACCTGGATAGTGATAATGGGAAACCCGATACTTACATTAATTGCCGGTAAAATCGACGATGGAACAAACCCTGTAATTGAATCAGCAATTCTGTGAAACAAAGACTGCAATGATAGTTTTAAATTGAAGGTAGGAAGAAGATGAACATACCCTTCTGCGGATTTCCGAAACCATATCCTTTGATCTCAGTCGGCGCACTGCCAACTCATGCAGCTAAACAAAATAAGCCTCAATTGTCAACGATATGTTCATTGTCAATTGAATAAGCATAAACATTCGAGAAGTTTAAATTATATCCTTGAAATAAAGGCCCTCCTTTGACTGCTTTGTGGCGCTTCCTATGTCATAATGGCTCTACGTTCTCCATGAGCCATCCATCTGATGATCTCATTTCCAGTTTGAAAAGGACAAAAGGATTGATGACCTGTGTTAGTCCTGGCAATGATGGTCTCTTAGTTGATCCGACTTTCTTTTGAAAGAGTTGACGGGTGGAGCCTCAACCAAGTGTTGAGGTAATGAATCTCACTCGTTAATCATCCTATGGGAAAGTCGATAGTCAGCTGACAAGTAATTTGTTTCGGGCTTGGAAACTCGTAAGTTCTCTGTTTTGGAAGACTAGAAGAATGAGAGCATATCACGTGAAACTTTATCGATAAGCAATTTGAAAACTGTACTTAAGTCGCCTCTAGTTTCTCGATATGACAACGGGAATAGGTTTGTCTTGGCCAGTCGAGCATCATATGGAAGTTTGCTATTCCGGGAATCAGCTTAGTTGCTGTTCTCTGAACCTTCACAAAAACCTCAATGTCTTTTTCTAAGCAGGAGCTAGCCGCTTGTATGCAGTGCTTAAGTTTAGGACGCACGAACATCGTATTCAAAGTCAAAAATGTTTTAGCGCCGACATGACTAAAGGCCCCACGTATTGACCATGAAGTTCTGAAACATTTGGCGGCTATTGTACGGCAGTGTGCAGTAGTCTCTAAGTCTTGGCTAACGATGACTCCTAAGTCATTGTGTATCTGGACAACAAGTAGCTCTGTGTTGTTCATCGTGCATGTACCTGTATCTTGATGACTGATATGCATCACAATACACTTGGAAGTATTTATTGGCAACTGCCAGGTTTGAGACCATTCTGATGAATTCTCCAGTTCATTCTGGAGTTCTAAGCTATCACCCTCACATCGTATCGTTCTCCATATCTTGACACCGTCAGCATATAGCAAGACCGATGATGATAGGAGACGAGGAAGAACATTTACAGCTTTCACGAGCCACTAATAAGTTAGTGAGACAAGAGTAACCTATTCTGAAACCGTGCTGCTTCTCCGAAAGGATCCGGTTTTTATCGAGATACTTAAACAGCTCCTTCCGAATAATCTTTTCTATGATTTTAACAGCCACACTACTTAGGCTAACGGGGCGGTAATTTTCAGGTTGGTGTTTCGTACCTATTTTGGAGACAGGACTTACTATGGCGTTTTTCCAGTCTTTGGGTAAACGACCCTGCCTTACGGATAGGTTAAAGCATATACTTAAAGGGTTTGCAACGAAGTTAGCTAGTTTTGAAGATTTTTGCTCCACATACTCCAACATTGAAATTTAGTGACATTAGCACAATAGATGTCAGTTTTGAGTTCATACCCTTTGTTATATCTTTTGAAGTGTCTAATAAATGAATAATCTGATTTATCTTAGGTTTACATCGTCACATGCTCTCAGTACTTGGTGTTTTGGGCCATTAGAATAATGGTGTCCTACTTTTATATAGATCCCGTCGGCATATATAAGAACTGCCATCAGTAGGAGTTGATCGAAGCGCTGTAAATTCACTACCACCACATAACGGATATTTATGTCACCATATTGATAGCATGAAATACTGCTACCAAAGACGCAAGTTATGGGTGTATTTATTTGCTTACAATGGACATTCGTAGCTGCAAATAATTCCTCACACAGTTTCTGACACACCGACTATCTCCCAAATATGTCCTTAGACTTCCTTCTTGCTGACTTCCGGTCCTCGATTATGTTACGAGCATGAGTGTTTTCAATCCCTGAATGTTCATGAAACCTATATATGCTTCGTCTTTTGAAAATGTAACTTGATAAAAGTTTTAGCAACGATGATACTGCTACAAAAAAGAGTGATGGCTCGGTCAAGATCACTGAACGGCGACAGAGCTGGGCACGATTATAAATGCAGACGACTGAGTTCGTTGAGACTGAAACTTCGAATATCACTGAATAGAAAAAACAAACTTATTGTTCCGTAGAATATTCACCTGGGTAGTAATGTCCTTAATTTAAAGGAGATATAATTCTTGTTCTATTCCACCGGAACCAAGAGGACGGAAATAGTGATCAGTGATGAAAGTGGTAAACCTAAGGTAACACCTGAACCACTCTCCTCTGAAACTCTTTAGTTCCGAGTGTTACGAGACCTTTATGACTTCATGAAGCTTGACATATAGACTGAGAGCCAGAAGCAGATTTCAGTCTTTATCTAGTAGTCTTATATGCTTATGAAATTTATAAATCCATCACTTGAAAGGAGGTATAGATCATGGTGTACAGAAACACTCAGCTTCCTAAACCGTAATCTATGCGACCTTATTTCCTCTCTAGTAAAGAATAGCGATGCATATGGCCGAAAATCAGTAACTAAAAAGACCTGTTACTGATTTTTTACAAATAACTATGATTGCACAATATACAGCACATCTGGGCAGTCTTAGAAAATAGGCTGTAAAGTCGATCAATACTTCCGAAATTGGATAGAGTGGAACTATAAAAAAATAATTACAAAAATGCTAGGAAATACTTAGCTAATTACTTGTCAGAGAAGGACTATATTTCTGCCGATCAGAGAAAATGTATCTACGTTACTGGAAAGATCAATTTAATTCATTCACAACTGAATAGTCAAACTGTAACCAAAGAGCTGAGTATTGCAAGAACTAACTGCTTATCAAACGTAGTGGACGAACTGGAAATGCACTTCATTTCAGAAAAAAACCATTCATTTCCATTAGTTTTAGCAAGTCCAATTGAAAGTGTGTGGACCAACATGACAGCCTCCATAATCAAATATCAAGTGAAACAAAATCTGCATCTCCCAGTGACTATCAAAAGGAGAAATAATACAATGGGAGACGCATAACTGTAAGTTAGCCTCAGCACTAACTTTACTTGAATTAAAGATTGAGCATGATGTACAAAACAACGATCCATTATAATGAAAACTTAGTAATAAAGAAGAAAAAATGCCGTTGTCCTAGAACGTGCATACTAGAGGAATGTTTTAACTCTCATGCAAACCCGCACACTTATGTATTTAGGATTTAACATTTGTTTTAGTAGCTATGCTGTTGTATTGTATTCAGATAAATTGTGGGGCTGACAACGAAAGTGTAGGACTGTGATACAGAACAGAACAAATGAGAAGGGTTGGAAGAATGAAGTCATGGGGGTTGATGATGATCCCTAAATCAAGTAAAGCCACGTTGTTTGGACATAATAAAAAAGTTTTCATTATCATGTTGACCTTTTGCTATACGAAAGAACGTAACATCAAGCTTTCCTTTATTAGGTTTCTCTCCAGGGCTCCTGTCAAGGCAGTCCATGAGTTGTTCACTGACGCCTTTGGTATAAACTTAACGTTATTGAAAACATAGATTTTTATCTGTGATATCGATGCAGACGTTTTTAGTTTTAGCAGATAAAAATACGTTCTGATGGGATCGGTATTTTTCAATGAGGTTGGCGTGAGTCAGAAGTGTTTCTCTTGAAGTGAAAGAATTTATTTGTCAAATCTTGGCGAATATATCTGAGGTAAATCCAACGTTTCGTCCGGCAGTCTGGTCCAAGCTTTTTCGAGGAATTATAATCAAACATCAAAATAATCGAATATAGATAGGTACATGGTTCTCCGGTTAACTGTATACTGAATAGGTCATCCGATCAACGTTAACAGTGTTTAATGTAACGAAAAGTGTTAAGATAACATATCGTGTATTGAACCTCGTTCAAACTATGTTATTAATGCAGTCTGGTTGGTCGAGAAGTTGTTACGAACTTTAGACCACGTAAAACGAATTCAAGTAAGTTGGTTATTAACAACTCTGCTGGTTATGGTATTTTTGCTTCATACACTGAAATTCGGAAATCTTTGACTGACGGTATAACTGCATGAACAACAAAGGAGCTAAAGGGCCTATTTTAAAAGTGATTTGTTACTTCAACGGGTTCAAAAAGTAATACACCAACTCCTAGTTTTGACTTTCAGATTATTTCAATTTCATGCTTGTGTTATTTTAACTGTTGTCAGTTAAGTCCTTCATTAAAAGAAAATACATGATGTCCACCTTTTGGCTGTCGATTCACTTTTCTTCTTGTCCACCTCTCTGGTTTTTTTCACGTACTCTACCCTGCATGCCCTCTCAGGCTGAACGAGGAGGACTCTATCGACGGGTCAATCATTTGAGCGACATAAATCGTGACCTATGGATGAGAATAATCAAACTTTATGTTTATCTGATTGAACAAGAGATTGTCGTAAGCTGATTTTGACCATATATGTCAAATTAAGCTTCCTGATTAAAGACACGCCCTAAAATTTGGGTGGAACGAATTGCAGAGTGAACTGGATTAAAACTCAGAATGACTGTCCATCACTGGTCGTTAAATTTAGTATCCATTGGAGAATAATCATTAACATGACTTTCATCAGTAAATTCTTACGTATTTCTGAAATCGATTATATTATCTACGTCGGAATGATCAGGCTTGTATGCTCCAAGTTTTTAAAATATTAATCTCAGTTACTGAATCCTATCTAAAATATCTCGAAGTTAGCAATAGCTCTTTTGTACTTTGTATGGTTGAAGTATAAGTAAACTGGTATTAGCTGAGATAACATCAGTGAGCTTAATAAAAAACGTTGTTGGATTAAATGTTCTTATGTTCTGCTGAGGTTGTTGTATGGTAAATTAACTAAGTGGGAGAATAATGCCAAATTATTGCCACTATACGAAAAATTGAAGTGATAATCATCTTTTGTAGGATCTGATTTCACCATGGACTCCAGTTCACATCATTAACTAAATCTGAATCTTTTGCGGTCGGTCGTTTAGGAGTCCCTGTCCCCTAGATTTGCGACACAAGAACTG